TATCTATCTGAAATAAGGAGCTCAATGAGCAAGACAATGTAATCGAGCAGGTACGATTTATTTGGCATCAATGAGTGGCATCATTATTCTCTTCGATTGAGGTGTGCCCAGTTCATTGGTGAATGAAGGGTTGCCGGTAGAGGAGCGCCACTGGTGTATCGGAAGGTCGCCGATGGAGTGTGGGCAATGGTTAGGGTGGAGGAAGATGATAGAGAAGACAAGGGCAAACATTGTCTATTTTCATATTCCCGCTGTAATCCTTATTCATATGTCCTAGCAGTATAATCCTTTTTATATTATTTGATATAATCAGCATTACAAAATATAATCTTTTTTATATTTCATAAGCCCGACTAAATATGTGAATCAATCATTTGCATCAGGAGAATTACATGTAATTCCTTTTTGTGGAATCAAGCCAAACGGCCCATCAGAGTTTATGAACAGTGAGTCCAGTTTGTCAACACTATTGTGATCACTCGTTTTGACTCATAATTTCCAAACCTGTGATTTTTTTTTTATTTAGGTACTTTACAAAACTATCCAGCTAATCATTTCTACTATTAATATATCTGGAATTTACATTTCTATATCCCAAAAATATTTTTATTTCTTATTTTGCCACTCTGTTCAACTCAACGTATCGACAATTTCTTATATTTATCAACAGGTGAGTCGTTTTTTATGTATTTGTAACAGTTGGTGAATGGATAGATTTTTTAAGTAATGACTATTTTCTTTTGTCCAATGGCCAATAAACGATTTTCTACTATAAATAGGCTTCACTGGATGATTCCAACGACTTTTTAAATTAACTGATTTTCATCAAAGTTGAATCTTGCTATGTCAATATATATAAATTTTCAAAACTGCCTATGTACTTCAATATGTACTCCCTCCCCATGTTTTTTATAAGATCCTAAAATTTGAACTGGTTTAATCCTTTTAATAAGATCCTGTTTGAGGGTGTTTGAACATTAAATGCCTTTTTTTTAATTCAATTTTGTTTCTAATTAATTTTCTTTTTTTTCGCTTAATTTTTTTTTCTCATACTACATTTTCTTCTATCATTTATAATATTTCTCTCTCTTATTTGCCGTTTATTAAATAAGGACATATATGCTTGAAAAAATGTTTAATTTTTACATATTTATTACTTTTAACTGACTTTAACTCTTTTCTTAAACTATATAACTTAGTTAAAATTAAAGGATGTTATAAAAAGAATTGGAGAGAGTATATCATATTTTTACGCATTTTATGTGGACATCTTTTGATCTTAGTGATCAATTACTCTCTTTATACCTGAGCTCAGGATTTTGTTGTAGTACACATTGTGTAAGGGAAACTCTCAGGAATTTTTTAGGACTGGATCAGTATAACCGTTGTGTGCCATTACTCTCTCTCTCTCTCTTGCTTGAATTCAAAAAAAAAAAATTCAATCATGTGTGAGGGAAAATCGTTGTGTTTAAATAAGAAAATCAATTATCAATTAATAAATAGTAAAGTAACAGTATCCGTGCTCATTTTATTTTTAATATAATTTCAAAAGCATGCAAAATTTTAAAAATAGAAAATATTAAAAAAAATCAAATCAACAATAAAAAGGCCCCACTTATTTTATATTGATTCTCTGTAACAAACAAAACATTAGGGAAAAAAATTTGCAAGGAGCACAATTAACATACCAACTTAATAAATGGTCAGTGAACGAAAAAGATTTCCTTGATTATTTGTTCATTTCTTTCCATTTTCGCCAATACAAAATGTTACCCTAATGAGAGATACATTTAATAATCTTGATCTATTTGTAGCCTTTTTATTTGCTCTAATTAAGTGCAATAAATCATTTCAACATGTATATATATATATATATATATATATAATTATATATGGCCTAATCAAAGTTTATGTGGACCACTTATTTCAGACTCTAACTACTCAGTTTTGATTGAGTCTGCCACTATAAGAATATTGCAAATTGACACACTCATTAACTGTATATACTTATATATATGTGTGTGTGTATGTACATATCATGACTCATTGAAATGCTGATGATATTTTGTCAAATTAAGAAACAAAATAAGTCCAAAACAGCATAGAATAAATTAGCTGTAAGAATGAGTCAAACTCATATAAATAAATATATATATATATATAATATGTATGTATATATATTCTACTCCCCATTTGGCACGCTACAAAATGATTCCCAAATTAAGAAACAAAATAAGTTCTGCTTTTCACACTGTTTACTATGGAAACAAGAATTTGACCTCTATTGTGTTCAATCGTTAAAAAACATAAAATATTCTCAAGATTATTGTTCATATTATATCAAATAAAACAATTTCAACTAGACATACTAATATTTTTTTAGTTTTTGTAATATATGCGCATTTTTTATTAAAATAGTTATTTTTTTAAACATAATAATATTTCAATTTAGGAATAAAGCTTTTATAGAACTAACTGGGATTAAATTTTGTAAAAAAATTACTTAAATGCCCTTAATTTGAAATATGAAATATGAAAAAAATTAAATAACCATAATAGTTAGATAAATAAATTGTTAAATACCAATGACAATGACAATTTAATAAGTAATAATTGTAACTTATTATATGACAACAACAATTAAGACAATGATGATCACTAATTTCAAGAAAATTATATCACTTCACCTATAAACTTAACTTAAAAATAACATTCAGGTGCAAATTTGTTATGTAAGTTTTCACTTAAGAACACTAAGTACCTGAAATTTTTTTGAGATGCAAATTTGCTGTGTAAGTTTAAAATTATGATAATTTTTTTTAATGTTAACAATATCATTGGTCAATGTCACTAATTAGTTTTTTTACGGTAACGGGCAAAATTGCTACGCTTTAAAATTTTTGAGATGAATTTGCACACAAAAATATTTTAGTCGCCCAACTGAGTGAAAATTTTTGAACGAATTTGTATCTTAACCTCTCAAAATACCTCTTACTTTATATAGGAATTAAGACATTTTAAATAACCATATGAGATTCTCATATTTTGTTAATTGATGTCTTTCTCTCAAACTTAAATTTAAGACCTTATTTAAAAAAAAGTTCCAATTTTATAATAACTCAGCCCAGCTGTTGTTTGTTATTATATCACGCTATCGCTTGTGAGGTGACTTCCATGATACCTCATAATGTTAGTCTTCTCTTTTTTGCCTCAGTCATTGTTGAAAATTTGAAAGTCTTCCAAACCCATCAGGCAAATTGGAAGTTCTGCTTGACTCTAGAAGCAAGCGAACAAGTCAAGTGGGCCACACTCACAATTTCAAAGCGCGTGGAGACCGGTTTGGCTTTTCTTAAATTGCTTTGCGATCCTTTTCATATATTAACGTTGCTATTGCACCCTTCAAGAATTTGGAAATGAAATGACGATATTGAAATGTGGAGAAGTGGCTCCATTATCCCTCTGGCTCACTTACCTTATATTGCCTTATTAATTATTTTCTCATAAAAAATTATCATCGTCCTCCTATACTTAATCCTCAGCAATTTATTTATCCACAAAAAATATTTTAAATCAAAATTATATATGTTTATACATGTGTAACTGAAATTTTTCTTTTGTTAAAAAACACAAAAATATACAGTTTCAAACATTATTTTCCTATTCATCTGAGTTGCGTAATATTGTCAAAAATGTTTACTAAACTTAATCATAGTAATTAACTAACTATACATATGTCGAAGGACATGATCATTTTCATTTCATTAATTATTAAAATAATAATAATCGGAGATGAGAGGGATATCCATTGAGAAAAAAAGAAAATCCAAGTCATATTCCGTTCTGTAGAAAACACAAATAATATTTTATTATGTCTTTTTTTTTACCAGCATATTTTATTATTTCTAGTTCTTTGAGGGAAAAAATAAAATTAAATGACGTGTGTGTATATGAATATGTGTGTTAAGTGGTACTGCTTGTTTTAGGTTTGATGTCTCGTGAGAATTTCTACTCCATTGTTTAATTTTCTTAAAAAGATTAAGAATTTAATTTTATGATGAAGTAAATGCCCCAAAAATTTATAAAGCATAATTGAATTAAACATTTTTATAACTTGATCAAACTCCTTTTACATATATATATAAATATAACGATATATATATATATATATATATATGCGTCTTAGGTCTAATTAGGAGTTATTTTTTATAGAATACAATTTATAATGAACCGAATTCAATAATTTTATATGATATAAAAAAAATGTAAGAAGTCAATTTCCGCACATCTTAATAAGACGAAAATAAATCGCATTATTCATGATATATAAGTAATGTGGCTTTCCATTGATTTTATATGTTATATTAACAATTAATATTTATAGTCTATAAATGAGGATATATAATAGATTTATTAGAAAAAATGAAAAATTTAGGTCAGTCAAGTCAACCAAGGGAGCTCAAATTATATATAGCTGACCATGAATTTATCCCGGTTCATTTCGGCCGAGCATTTTAGAAAAGTTTAAACTAAAAAATAAATTACTATTAATTAATATCCAAATCCCATGATTAATCACTAATTCCTCTAATTCCTTTAACAAGGCATATAACCCAATTCCCCATTTGGTCCCTCTAGTTTCAAGCACTGTGCCTACTTTTTTGTTGCTCTCTCTCACACATCCCTTCTTCTTCCTCCCCCTCTCCTTCTCACAGAGCCAACAATCAGCTTGATCGATGCTTCATCCTCCTAATCTCTTTCCTCTCTCATGGACCTTCGTATTCTTCTCATTTGGGATCCTAAGCGGCGTCGTTTCGGATCCACAGACCCATCTTCTGAACAACGAGTGTAATCCGTACTTCATTTCCAACGTATTTCTGGACTCCAATGTCTCCGTCTTCAACCAAAACCTAAACGGAACTCTGCGAGACATCAGAGAGAAGATCAGTGTCCAGAACAAGCACTTCGCCACGGCACAGAAAAGCAAGGGAGTAAACCCTGTTGCTACGCTTTTTCAATGCAGAAACTATCTCTCCGTCGCCGACTGTGTCGCTTGCTTCAATGCGGCTACCGATCAAATCCGACGATGCCCCCCCGGGACCTCCGGTGCCCATGTCGTCTACGACGGCTGCTTCCTCAGGTATAACTTTTCAGCCACGTTCAAGTTTCACCTTTTTTAGCTCTTTTAGTTTGATTTTTAATTTAGTTCTAAATATAAGACTTTAATCTTTTTTTTTTTTACAAGATAGTTATTGTAGTAGTTACGTATGTTTGATTTTTAATTTAGTTCTAAATATAAGATTTCAATCTATTTTATCTATTATATTTATTCTGTTTTTACAAAATAGTTATTGTAGTAGTTACACATGTTAAATATTCAACCAAATGGTAATTTTAACTAATATATGATTAGCAACAAGTATTTTAGAAAAGATAATACCTAATTATTACAAATAACTAACTTAACAAACTTCCTTAATCCACTCAAATTAGTCAATTTGCTCTTATACCTAGGGCATATTAGGGGTGGAACGTAAAGATCATGGTAACATATTGGTTACGCACAACTTCAATGGCTGGCCTTAGGGATGAATCAATTTACAATTGACAATTATGATAAATTCAAAAGACCGAAGACAGAACAGCAATCCTTATCTTATCAAATGAAGTTGACTGCATGGATCATACACCACATATTGTGCCATCTTAAAACGATTTTTTTTTCTTTTTTTAATATATTCTAATTTTTTTCCGTATATGTTTCTTTCTATTGACTACATGCTTATCTCAATAACTACCCCACTTTATGTTCAATAGACAATATATTTTTAGTAAATATAATATTTTATACGCACACGCGCATACACATATATATAAATATATATAACATTTTGAATGTATTCATTTTTTTCCAAAAAAGTGGCTTGTCGTTGGTTAATTATATATAGCCCATGACCCCTATAAAAAGAATGTTTCTATGATTTACTCAAACTTAATTTAATATTTTTTTGGTCAAACCAAAGTTTAAGTCTTATTTCTTATCGCTTTCCAAATTTTCGAGTATTTTTCTTTGAAGAATCATAAAAAAAATTGAAAACTACACTATTTTTCCTCATAAGATATCAAAATGTCACTCATTTTATTTAGAATCTAATAGTAAAGGGAAACAAGAAAGAAAAATTGGAAGCAGAAAAAATTAAGAAGCAGTAATGGAGGGAGCTGAGAGGGAGCAGCGCATCCTAAATCCATATAAATTATGCACTAAGCAATAAGTGAGAAGTATTTTTCCATTTCTGTTTTACTCTTATCGAATTTGTATAAAACATAAATCAATCAATTATCAACTAATCTTCCAATTGATAGTGAAAAAGGTGAAGAATTCGTCTTTTTATTAGCTTGATTCGTACATAACAAAATCCAAATACATATACTGAACTTGGAAAAATGATTGAGGATACTTGTTGTGTGTTTTAAGGTTCGATATTAATAGTAATGTCTTTCAAGAAACAACGCAAACTTTCAACATCACGTCATGTGGGAATCAGACTACTGAAGGAGAAGCCATTACATTTACCTCAGACGCACAAGAAATGTTAATGAATCTCCAAACAGCAACTCCCAGAATCACTGGCTTCTCTGTAGCTACCAAGACACAAGTTCCTAATAATGGTCCAACTATTTATGCGTTCGGTCAATGTATTGAAACTATCACTCAGATTGGCTGCAAGGATTGCTTGAATGCTCAGTACAACAATATGCAGTCTTGTCTTCCCAATTCAGATGGTAGGGCTTTTGCTAATGGCTGTTTCTTGAGATATTCCACCACTTCCTTCTTCCCCCATAATCAGATCCTCGATGTCACACGCTTCTCAAAACAAGGTAACCCTTTTTTCAGATCAATGATATGCACAAATACTGCGAGTAGGAGTTTGCTTTTATACGGGGTTAAGGGTCATTTTTACTTCAAAAGTATTCGTGAAGAAGTTGTAGGTGTCGAGAAGATTTTTGTTGGGCTAGATATCACTCTAGAAGTATTAAAAGAAGAGGAGCAATATCGCCATTTTCATTAAAAAACTAACATTGACTGTTGATATTTTAATTGAAACAACGACATTGCTCATTTTTTAACATTATCGGGGTGACATTGAGCTGAAGAAAACTTTTGGATTTCTACATATATCTCTTTCACGAATACTTCCAGCCGAAAATGACTAATAGTCTGTTAGTTAATTTACTCCTTCAATCCTAGATATAAGGGCTAAGTAATGAGATTTATTTTGGTCCTAAATATAAGAGATCTTAATCTATCTGATCTCCCAAATTTATAATCTAACATGTCATGTACATACATTCATACATCTTGTTTTAGCAGTTACAAGCAAGAAGGGGATCATTATTGGTGGAGTTGTTGCAGGTGGATCTCTTGCTTTGATCCTCATTGCATTATTTTCCATGATTAGGAGACGAAAAAGCCCCAAGATGATCAGTATTCCTAGAGGTAAACAACTTAAGAAGTCTACTTTGCATTAATTTGAATATTTTAAACTATTGGTTGTCTTAATTTATGAAAAGAGATTAATTTGGTTAATGTTTTCCGCTCATACCAGGAGACATACCTGGAGCAAGCAAGCTAAAAGGCCCAGTTGCTTTTAGTTACAATGTTTTGAAGACCGCAACCAAGAATTTTAGTGAAGAAAATAAAATAGGAGAAGGTGGATTTGGCGTGGTATACAAGGTATAGTTATTGTTCTTCAGTTTCAATATTTCAATAAGTATGTCCCAAAGCTAAATGAGGTTTATATATAGTACGTTAAAAGGTTATATTTCTAAAAGGACAAATGCATTACTTGAAATAAGTAATAAAGATATGTACTTTCATGATTATATTGAAATTCTTAATCATCGTATGTAGGGCACTTTGTGGAATGGGAAAGTAGTTGCGATCAAAAAATTAGCTTCACCCTACTCCAACAAAGTAGATGAAGAATTTGAAAGTGAAGTGAAGCTGATAAGTCATGTCCATCATCGGAATCTTGTTCGACTTTTGGGATGTTGTAGTAAAGGCCATGACAGAATTCTTGTTTATGAGTACATGAAAAACAATAGCCTCGACAAATTTTTATATGGTATCTTATTTCATTTCACAAAACTTAATTACATACAATTCTTTACGCATTATTAGTTTTCCTTCGTAATACCATTATGATATGTGAACATATTTTCAACTTAAGAACACATTGTTGACTCATCAAACAAAACTTTACTTCGTAGTTTTATTAGAGAATTTACGCGTTTATATATCAATTATCTTTTGTATGTTTGACCCTTTTGTCTTTAATTACTTACATTCCAAATTATGTGAACCTGGAAAATAGGTGACAAGAAATACTCTCTCAACTGGAAGCAACGATATGAAGTCATTTTAGGAATAGCAAGGGGTTTGGCTTATCTACATGAAGAGTTTCATGTTCGCATTATACATAGAGATATAAAGACTAACAATATCCTCTTAGATGATGATCTACAACCTAGAATTGCTGATTTTGGCTTGGCAAGGCTTATACCTGAGGATAAAACTCATCTTAACACAAAATTTGCAGGCACATTGTAAGTTGAAACTATTACTTTTGTTTAATTTAATTTTCAATTCTCTTGATACAATTATAGTACATGGATTGCCCAAGGTACATTGATAAAATCTATACATATAAGACTTCAAGAAAGAATTCATACCCTCGTCAAACATAACATAATATATATACTTTATATTTTAGATTTTGTAATCAGATTTTAGTTTTAGATATTTTATTCTAATTTCATTATATCATATATATTATATTTTGTCAGAGGATACACGTCACCGGAGTATGCAATTCATGGCCAACTATCAGAAAAAGTTGATGTCTACAGCTATGGTATTGTAGTGTTAGAAATAATCAGTGGTCAGAAGTGCAATAAATTAGAGACCGATGGTGATGTTGCAGGCGAATACCTCCTCCAAAAAGTGAGAAAATTCTCATGACTATTTTTAAATCGTGCAATCTTTTATTTTGAGAAATTTTAGATAAAAAGCCTTTTAACGGGCCAATTAGTCTTTTGCAAAAGCTATTCCTTCTTTACGTAAGAATCTATATCTAACCTATGCTTTCTCCTTTTTTGCCCACTTGATAGGCTTGGAATTTATATGAGAGGGGTATGCACTTAGAGTTGGTGGATAATGCCTTAGACCCTCAAGATTATGATGCAGATGAAGTCAAGAAAATTATAGAGATTGGTTTGCTTTGCACCCAACCATCTGCAGAAACAAGGCCAATGATGTCTGAAATAATGGTTATGCTCAAGAAGAAGGGTTTATTAGAGAATATGAGGCCAACTATGCCTATCTTCATTGAAACTAATTAAAAATTCGTGCATGGAAGATGCCTTTACCTTTACGGTTTCCAATATATCCAATGCTATTATTTGCCTTCATTTTTATCTATCACCAAGATAATTCTATTTTGTGTAGGAATATGTGATTATGGGTGACTTCAAATTTTGAATCCATAAAGGAAATAAAAGAACTAATAACATAGAAAGAAGGATATAATAGAACGTGACTGCCCTTCATTTAATTCCATTCTGCAACTTTTAGGTGCAATTAATTATAAATCACTCGGACATTATTATGTATGAATGTGTGAATAAATTGTACAATTTTGAGTAATAGTTTTGTTGGATTATTGCATATGATATTTCTTTTATTTTTAAAGCGCGATCATGAATCAAATTATATTATTTTTCTTTATAATCACATATGGGGGGCGACTATATTTTGGAGTTTAGCATCATCTCCATTACTTTTATGATCACATGGAGAATAAATGACAATTAAAGATGCATGCCATTAATTATAAGAAAAATAAAGTTGTCGAGAGCATCATATGAAATAATAGAAGGAGGCAAACAATTTCCAAACCATACATGTTAAATGTTCATAAATTTGGATATAAATATAAAGAATGCACAGTTTTAGAACTATTGGTAACCTTATATAATCGAGCTTCAACAAGTAGTGGCCAAATCAAGTATAAAAAAACTCGATTCCTTATTCGTATCATATGTGCTGTCATATCATAGGACTCGACTCTTTATCTTGTCTTGATAACGTTTCTGGCAAAAAACAAAAAAAAGAAAAGAAAAGAAAAAAAATTCATAATGTTGTGATTTAATCGATAATACTTCTATGATCTTATTTATAAGACATTTTCAGTATATTTCACACAGACCAAGAAAAATTTTAACTATATTAACTCTTGATTAAAATATAATAACTTTTCAATTTTACCCCTATTTAATATATATACTTTTCAAAGAGAAGATAAATATGTCTACATTATAATCAATAAAGAATGAAATAATATATTCATGCCAAAAATTTAATGAAATGATTTATAAATAGGATCAAGAAAAACTTTTCTCTTCTTTTTTAAATAGGATTAGAAGAGTACTTAGATAAATATATAAAACATAAAAAATTGTTCTTCCTACATTTAATTCTGCAAAGAGGATGCATGTGTATTATCCCCTCCCTCAGAAAGGGCCTACCACCACAATATAAGGTCGCCATCAGTTACCACTTGCATTGTCTGTTTTCCTTTATGTCATTATTGTTAGAAATTTCCCAATTCTTGTTGACCCAAGAAGCAAATTAGAATTGAGCAAGTCAATGGTCAACTCGCAATTCCAAAGCGTGTGGAAATTAAACCTCTATTACATGGAACAGTCAATTTCTCATTGATTTGTTTTCCACAAATTGCTATTGAATCCTTCAAAAAAAAAAAAAAAGGATTAACAGTTCCAGCCCACTGGTTTCCTAATATTCATAAAAATTTGACCCATTGCCTCTCTTTGCTTCTTCATTCTCACTCTCTCAACAGAAGATGCTTCAAGGTCGTCCTCATCTCCTTCCTTCGTTCATCTTCATATTCTGTTCATGCTGCTCCATCCTCAACGGCGTCGTTTCGGACCCACAGACCAATCTTCTTAAGAGCGAGTGTAATCCGTCCTTCGTCTACCTCGTGTCCAGCATCTCCATCTTCGACAGAAACCTAAACACGACGTTGAGAGATATCAGAGGGCAGATCAGTGAACAGAATAAGCGCTTCGCCCCCGCACAGGAAGGTAATGGAGGAAACCCAGTTTCCACTCTTTTCCAATGCAGAAACTACCTCTCCATCGCCGACTGTCTTGCTTGCTTCGACGTCGCTGCGGCTCGAATACTCAACTGCACCGCCGGAGCCTCTGGTGCCCATGTTGTCTACGACGGCTGCTTCCTCAAGTACTTCTATCCAAAAAATTTCAAATTTAGTCTCTCTCTCTCTACTACATACTCACGTATATATGCACTTTATTAGGGGTGTTCAAAGCCGGCCTATCCTGGTCGGCCCGCTCCGGTCCCGGTCTTATTGGGACGGGACGGGACGGGACACGGGACGGGGTCGTCCCGTCCCCGTCCCGTCCCGGTCCTTTTTTTATTTTTTAATTTTTTACCCATTTATATAATATCATTTTTTCATATTTTTTTAAGATTTGAGACTATTGTATGAAACTATGGATATATTTATTTAGAGTTTTTATATTTGTTAATGATTTGAGATTATTGATTATTAGAATTTTTAGCAAGTTTTTATTGTGTTAAAAGCTTTTGTTTAGAGTTTTTAATAATTATTATATGTAATATTTTGCGCTTTTGTTTAAGAGTGCCCAAACAGATAAAAAAGAAAATAAAAAGATGTTTTTATAAGGTTTAAGCCCAAAAAAATAATTAAAAAAAATCAGATTTTATTAAAAAAAATTTTAAAAATTTAAAAAAAATAAAAAAAAAAAGTTTGGGACGTCCCGGATCCGTCCCGTCCCGACCGGGACCAGGACAACCCCGGGACGGGCAAGGACACGGGACAGAAAATCTATCTCGTTACTGTTCATCTGGACGGAACCGAGACGGGTCTGTCCTGGTCCTGATCCGTCCCGTGAACAGCCCTAATATTTATGTTGGATTTTGGATTCGTTGTTGAAAGGTCGACTTATTTAATGAGATTATTTAGTTTCACTAAATAATATTAACTTGATTAGTATTTAATTTAGTATGAGTGAAATTAGTGTTTAAGTTAGAGAGATTGGATGGGAAGGGCATGTATGCCCAATCATATGGGACGATCATGGCAGGGACATTGTGGGGATGCTGGGCATATGAGAGAAGCATTTTTAAAAAGTGTTTTTTACGAATCGAGATAAACTCTTTAATATATTTACTTCGTATACTATAAAATTACTTTTGAAACTATAGTTTGGATTTTATCCAAACATTCAATAATTTTATCCCCGGGTATACTTCAGCAAACTGCGGACCCAAAATTTTACAAAAATGCTAATTCATTTAATCTAGCTTAAGAGTAGAATTAACAATTTGAATTTATTGTAATTATAAATATTATCCTCTCGTTCTATTCATAGGGAGAGATATAAGAAAATTTTTAGTCATATTTATAGGGCAGAAAGAAAATATTTTTTGACCTTATTTATAGGGTAAAGAAAAAAAAATTTATATGATTGTACAATTTTACTTTTTTTATTTATTATTTTGTTGACTTTGTTCTTATAAGATGTATATATATTAAATAGGAATGAAGTTGGAATATTATTGAATTTTAAAAGGAAGTTAATAAAGTTTTATGTTTTCATTGATCTGTATGAAATATATTAAAAGTAACTTATAAATAGGACTAGAGGAGTACTTCTTCTGGTGTTTTGTAGAAGTCACTTCATGCACTCGCATCGGAATCAAAGAAAGGCTTCAAAATTATCAACGTTGTCTGGAAACTAACATAATTTTCAGTTAGGCCCTTAATTTTCATAATTATTAATTACGACGTCAACTCCTTAATATAAATGTTAGTTAGGGATTAAATTTGGGCTAAAATATAAGACCTCAAGTTATGTTATCTCTCATCTTTTCTTAAAATATTCTATTAATTGTAAGAAATTTTCACTAAGAGATTATTTTAATCATCCAATACATATAGATAAAAATGATAGTTTAGGTAGATCAACACACATTTGTGACAAATAACTAATTTAATTAATTTTTTCATACATATCCTTTGAAAAGTCAAAAGGCCAAGTTTGAAAAACTGAGTTTGAATACGAGAGAGTTTGGCATCTCATATAAGCACTTAAAAAAAGGGGGGAAAAAAAAAGACATTAAGATACCTTCAAAAATGCTAAAAGATAAATTAGAGTTGATAACTTTCAAAATCCTAAATCAGATCCCTTGTACTACTTTGAAATTTTAAAATATTGTTAAATGACAACATAGTCTTTACTTTCAGTTACTACTTTCATATAACTATTGACTACTCTAATTTCACTATTGATTATTTTTGTCTTCAAATTTTTGATGACTACTTTTGTATAACTATTGACTATGCAAAGGCAATAAATGACTGAATTAAAAGTAGTTACCAGATCTCCAACAACACTTAATATATTTTTTGAATTTTTAAAATAAAAGTAGTTAATAGGTAAACAAAAGTAGTCACCAAATTTTTTTAAAATGAAAATAGTTAATCATAGTAGTAGAGTAGTCAGTAGCTAAATAAAAGTGTCATCGGCATTTTAAAAACAAATATAATCCATGGCTAAAAAAAGTAATCAATACATAAAAAAGAATAGGCACAGAAGCTTCGGCAGCTAGCCCCTAGCAGGGTTGTTGGTGATCAGAAACCAGCTAAAAGTGCTAAGGTGACAATATTAAAAAAAAGAAATAAACAGTGAAGGGCATTTGCATAATTTTGGCAGACTTAAAAATTCTAAAATAATACAAGGGGTTTGAATTGGAATTATGAAATTCAACCATATTGATTTGTCATTTAACAATTTTCAAGGTATTTTATTATCTTTCTTTCCTTAAAAAATGCTTTGACGTAAGTCAAGATAAGTTTTCTAACATATTTACCCTGAACTCCACAAAATTACTGTTAAAAAAAGTTAATCCAAATATTGCAATGCGGTAAAGATGCAATAAATGTTTCATATATTGCCTTATAAAAAGACCCAAAAAAAAAAAAACGTATCCGAATACTTTGTAAAATGGACAGGAGGGAGTATATCATAATAATATGTGAATGTTAATGACTAAAGAAGAAAGACATTATTCTTCATAAATATAAAGGTTAAAGACTATAAATTTATATCATGTACTAAACACTCCCTCAGGTAAATGAGAAGCATTTCTCAATTTCCCTATAAAACTCTCCTTTTCATTAGCTTTCTGATCTGTACATATTATAAACTTTAAAAAAAAAAAAAAAGATGATATGGCAGACTCTGGCGTGTTCAGGTTCGACATTAGCAGTGCTTTCCTTGATGAGACAACACAAACTTTCAACACAGCAGATTGTGGTAATCAGACTGAAGATGACGATGGAGCCACAACATTCACATCAGTTGCACAACAATTGCTGATGAATCTTCAAACAGTAACACCAAATATTAGAGGATCTTTTGCAGCCATGAAGATGACAGTGTCTAACGTTGGTCCAACTATTTATGCCTTTGCCCAACGTATTGAAACCATAACACAAAATGAGTGCCTCAGTTGCTTGAATGCTGGATACAACAATATAAAGACTTGTCTTTCCTACTCAGATGGTAGGGCTTTTGCCGATGGGTGTTTCATGAGATACTCCACAACTTCCTTTTTTCCTGATAACCAGACTATTGATATCATACCTGCCTTCAAACAAGGTAAGGCTTCATTTAGATTCTTTGTCACCAGTTTATAAGTCCGATAAATTAGTTTGGAAAAAAATTATGCATGATAAATGTGATACGTAAAATGGATTAAAGCATTATATTCATGATCAAAATCCAGCCTCCAACTAATTCCTACATTTAGGACATACAGGAGGAGTAAATTTTCAATTTGAAAATTTATATGAATCCTTAGTTTGAATGTTTATTTAGGTTATATAGAATGATTTGATTAAGTATTATTATTGACATTTTAATTTTATCCTTTAGAGCATGATACGTGTCAAAATAACTTGGTATTATTTGAACTTACATGTACATATATTCACTCATATATGTGTATATTTGTATTTGTACAAATCTTTGTTCGTAGGTTCAAGTAACAAGGGGGCCATTACTGCTGGAGTTGTTTCAGGTGCTGCTCTTGCTTTGCTCCTCGTTGCATTATTTGCTTGGATGAGACGAACTAAAAGCCCAAAGAGGGTTCCTAGAGGTAAACAAATTAAAAATTATGAGGCTACTATTTTATCAATTTGGAAAATGAACAAAATCTTCAACTGCTAGTTATTTTAATTTATGAACAAAAGGTTTGATTTTTGTTTTCCATGGCAGGAGATACCTGGAGCGAGTAAGTTGAAAGGCTCAATAACTTTTAGTTATAAGGATTTAAAGTCTGCAACTAAGAATTTTAGTGACGAAAATAAACTAGGAGAAGGTGGATTTGGTGTTGTATACAATGTACAACTTTATTATGAGTTTCAATGTAAGGATATCTTTAAGCGTGGTTTATATATTATTTTTAAAAGATAGTCTGATAACGATCCCATGTTTAAAATTCTCAATTATGATTAGGGCATTTTGGGGAATGGGAAAGTAGTTGCAGTAAAGAAATTAGCTTTACAAGCCTCCAATAGGATCCATGAAGATTTTGAGAGTGAAGCGATGCTGATAAGTAATGTTCATCGTCGAAATCTTGTTCGACTTTTGGGATCTTGTAGCAAAGGTCACGATAGAATCCTTGTTTACGAATACATGAAAAACAACAGTCTTGACAGATTCGTATTTGGTATGTTATTTCAATTACCAAAGCTTATGCACAATATCTTAAGCATTATGAGATGTGGACATATTTTCAACATGATAACATTTCATTCACTCGTTGGGAAAAATGTGCTCATATGTCATAGTTTTATTAGATAATTTGATTGGCACATAGATATTGAAAGGACATTGTTATGTTTCGCCCTTCGTTCTTTTTCCTCACCTTTCAAATTTTGCAGACTTGGGAAATAGGTGAAAGGAAAGGTTCTCTCAATTAGAAGCAATGATATGAAGTAATTTTAGGAATAGCAAGAGGCTTGACTTATCTTCATGAAGAATTTCATATTCGCATTATTCATAGAGATATAAAGACAAATAACATTCTGTTAGATGATGATCTACAACCAAGAATTGCTGATTTTGGGTTGGCAAGGCTTATACCTGAGGATAGAACTCATCTTAGTACAAAATTTGCAGGAACATTGTAAGTTGATCGAAATAACTTCTTGGCTCAAGTTAATTTTCAATTCTATGAATTTTTATCATAGTAAATGGATTGTTGAAGGTATTAATGAAATATATACATTAGTCTAGTAAACAATCCTATTACATGGACTATACATGATTATGCAAGAAGGAATTCATACTTATGTCGAAGATGATGAGACAATACTTTTATTGCATGTCTATTTTGGATTTTGTAGCATCTTGATACGTATGTGTTTTAGTTTGAGCTATTATTCTAATTAATTGCATCATAAATAATATATGATTGATAGAGGATACACAGCACCAGAATATGCAATTCATGGACAATTATCAGAAAAGGCTGATATTTATAGTTATGGTGTTGTTGTCTTAGAAATCATTAGCAGTCAAAAGAGCAATGAAGTGAAAGTTGATGGTGATGCTGAAGGCGAATTCCTCCTCCAAAAAGTGAGAAAATTCACATGACTATTTGAAAAAGCTTTTCTTTATTTTGGGGGGGAAAAAAACTTAGATGTTGAATTTTTTAACAGGACATCTAAAATTCTTTCGAAAAAAACTCTTACTTTATGAGAGAAAATAATCTTATGATAAATACTTATATTTCGTTTCACTTTCATCCTACTTGATAGGCTTGGAAACTATATGAGAGGCATGCATCTAGAGTTGGTGGACAATGCCTTAGACACTCATGATTAGGATGCAGAAGAAGTGAAGAAAATTACAAAAATCGGTTTGCTATGCTCTCAAGCATCTGCAGAAACAAGACCGGCAATATCTGAAATAGTGGTTTTGCTTCAGAAGAAGGGTTTCTTAGAGAATATGAGGCCGACTATGCCTATCTTGATTGAACCTAATTAGAGCTTCATGGAAGACACCTCCATCCCTACTGCTTCCATCCAATGATGTTGCTTTTACTTTTTAATACCATCAACAAGATAATTGTACTTTACAAGAATGTTTTTTCTGAATGGCTGATGAGAGTAGTCTTAGTCGCATCGGCTACCAATTAGTTCTAGATCCAACTATAAATACAATATAGTGGCAACCGAAATCATTCTCCTAGGGAGCAATTTTGGAATTCTAATTGCAAAATGGACCTGGTTATTTATATGCAAATACAGTACCGCTACTCTAGAATGATGCAAGCATACTCTAAATGCAAATATGTTATGGTTATGCACCTAAGTAAACTAATGCAGACTACAGCTATATGTTTAATGCAGATAGGGATATGATCCCAAATATAGGACCTGGCTTAGGTCCCGGCAATGGATGGGCATAAAAAATAATTGGGACCAAGTTATGGAAGGTACTGAGAGGGTGGTTCTTTCTGGGGGGAAGGTACTGTTAAGTGGAAGATGGAAAAGTATGACATGTTGTCTCTTAAGTTTGCCTACAGTATGTGAAGAAAGCTTATGAAGCCTTGTTTAGCAGATAATTTTTTTCTCCACAGATCTGTGGGAATGGTGAACAATGGGAAGGCTGGCTGTGGAGGCATACTGAGATTACATGGGATAGTATTTAGATGCTTTTACGCTGATCAGTTTGTTTAATGAGACTGAGGCGTGCATGGGATGGACTCGATAAATGATTCTGCATATTCCAATTTTGTTGATCCAACAAAGGGGAACAATAGAGACATACTCAAAAGAGATATAATTTAAATGATTAATTAAATTATCATCACCAGTCCTAAATATAAGAACTAATTTGTAGTGTAAATTAGCTTTTATATTTAGAACCAGAGATAATATTTAAAGCTTAAATTATATGATATTATGTTAGTTCTTAATAAAATTTTTATTTTAAAAGTAACATCAAGAATTAAATTTTTATGTTTAAATTTCTGAAACAAATTTTTGCTGCTTTAAGAGGCTGTGGTTACCCAAGATAAGACGTACTCTCATGAAAATGAGTGTTAAAAAAATGGCTTGGGCAAGCGACATAAATTTGATCCATGTAGCTCTTAACCTCCTGCAGTTATATTAATTAACCTGAAACGATCTCTCAATCAGCTACTGCTAGTTCAACTAAGTGAGTGCATGGTCCCTTTATAGCAATAGTAGAATATAAGTAAAACTTAGTGCCATTTGAAAAACCCAAATGATCAATTAAGTTGGTATACCATCTCTGCCTGAAGTTCTTTGCAGAAACTACTTTCCCGTAATCAAGTACCTATAGGGTTATTCTTTTGAATGTTTTCTATAACCCTGAAATTATCTTCCTCATTTATTCTGTGTTTCCATATTTCAGGGGAACCCTTTTTTGGGTGGCTTTGATCACCATCTCTTGTGTGCAGTTCTGTGTATGAAATTCTTCCATCGATGTCTCAGACAAGATATGACATTTTCCTTCTCTGCTTTTATGCTATGTTCTGGTGATAATGTATATTTGTTTGACCTGATTATGGGTAACCATTTTAATTCACATTTATACAGCAAAAGATGAAGACACCCAACTAGACTTGCTGAACAAGGATAGCTATGTTACAACAACATAGTCGTGGCAATGACAAACTACCCAAATTATATTGCACAATTCATGTTTCAATGTTTCATTGTACTCAAATCTTCAGTAATGTAATCAAGGCGAATGCTTACTCCAGTTTTTTCCTTCTTCAATATTATTATTATTATTACTATTATTATTTTCTGGGGGTTCAAACTCGTATCGCCTTCCTGATGGAATAGAAGTGGAGACAGTAGCATTTGATCGAGATGAACTATTACTAACCATCTCTTCTAATCCCCACATTAGAATCAACATAAACAGGCATAGTGGGTCGCTTGTGATCTATTAAGCCACCTTTGCTTTCGATCATATCAACAACTTCAAACATTGTTGGCCTTGCTGCAGGAGATGCTTGCGTGCAAAGCAATCCAATCTCTATGATTTTCTTTACTTCTTCTGCATCATACTCATTTGGATCTAAGGTTTCATCCACAAACTCCATGTGCATTCCTCTCTCGTACAGTTTCCAAGCCTGCCGAGGGGCATCAAAGTCATACAAGATGGAGGAAAAAAGATTGTGTGGTGTTGAGCAGTCAAAAATCATCGTTTGTCACGCTATATTGAAAATAATTTGATTAGTTAAATCTGCATTTGTAATTTCTCCAAATAAAACCCTTTCCTTTGGTATATCAGTTTTGAGAATTCGCTTACTCTTTGAAGAAGGAATTCGCCTTGATCATCATTCTTTAATTCACCACTCTTTTGCCCACTTATAATTTCTAAGACTACAACACCATAGCAATAGGTGTCAACCTTCTCAGATAATTGTCCATGCATTACATACTCAGGTGCAGTGTATCCCCTATATAACAAAAGCAAAAGATCAAAAACTCACCATATGTAAGACACGAGACGCAACAAGACACGGAAACTTACACGGCCAATGATAAAAACAAATTTCAAATATTCATGTGCAACTTAAAAGTGTTGTATCATATTTCTAGTGAGTCATAAACATACACAAGTCTTCATGCTTTGTAGAAACAACTAAACATTTGAGAAAAGATCTAGTTGCTAAAGTATGTTGCGTTTGATCAACAAATGAGTTGTTACAATCATTTGTGTCAATATGATATACAGAGTGCAGAAAATATGAATAATTACAAATGTTATTACTTACATTGTTCCTGCAAATTTTGTATTGAGATGAGATTGGTCCCTTGGCAAAAGCCTTGCCAATCCAAAATCTGCAATTTTAGGCTGGAAATCATCATCCAAGAGGATGTTGCTGGGCTTTATATCCCTATGTACGATGCAAATGTGGAATCCCTCATGAAGATATGCCAAACCCCTTGCAGTGCCTAAAATTATACCATAACGTTGCTTCCAATTGAGAGAACCTCTATCTCCACCTATTTCCAGCACTTTAGATAGTAAGGGAAAGGGGACAAAAAAACATAAAAATAGAGAAAGCAGATGATTTTCAACTACAAAGGAAATTTCTTCAAGTACTAAATTGAATATACCAAATAAGAACTGGCCAACATTGTTGTTCTTCATGTACTCATAGACAAGGAATCTCTCTTGGCCTTTACTGCAACATCCAAGAAGTCGAACAAGATTTCGATGATGAACATTACTTATTAGCTTCACTTCACTTTCAAAATCTTCATCCATCTTTTTGGATTGCTCTAGAGCCAATTTCTTTATGGCAATTACTTCTCCATTTTTCAGAGTACCCTGTTCAATGAAGAGATCATATTTCCAGACTATAGACTGTGCTTGACGGAAGTGCCATCCTTTTGTTAAGAATTAGACACATTTTCCTGTGTATTTCATGGAATCTAAGAAATACATCGTACTTTCTATATATCTGGCAGACAAATATTATATTAACAAGTGTACCTAAATTGAATTTATAAAAAAAAGCCTCTATACAAAAGTGTCTCTTGAAAAAAGATATGGACTGTAATAATACAAATGACTGTTTGTTTGAGTTTTTTTTTTGGGGGGGGGGGGGTTTACCTTGTATACATCACCAAAACCTCCTTCTCCTAATTTATTCTCTTCACTGAAATTTTTTGTCGCAGACTTCAGATCTTTATACCTGTAGTTAACCGGGCCTTTCAACTCAGTTGCTCCCAAAATGTCAACTGCAAGAAAAACCACAATTAGAAGTAGTTAGGGGTTCATCCCTATCAAATTAAAACCCTCACATTCCTTTGGCGGGAAAAAGTTAAAACTAGAGCATCACAATGAATCATTTCAAATTGAATAATAAAGATTTTTCTAGTTATCTTACCTCTATGAACTCTCTTGAACAATGATCGTCTATACAAAGCAAATAATGCAAGAAGAATCAAAATAAAAGATGCACCTCCAACGACCCCACCAATAATGGTCTTCTTGCTTGAATCTCCTACGAGTCACAATTGTTTGAAGTTAAATTGTTTGCTCATGTCAATTGTTTCTTGGCATGCAGTGCACATAGTCATTCAGGAGTTTAAAGTTTAGAACTTTACCTTGTTTCAAGATGCGTTTGATATCAGTGGTCTGGTTAGCAGTAAAAAATGCAGAGGTGGAGTATCTCATGAAGCAACCAGCATAAAAAATCTTAGCATTTGAGTTGGGAATACAAATCTGAAAATTTCTTAAGCCAGAGTCCAAGCAATCCTGGCAGCCACTTTGAGTGACAGTCTCGACACATTGAGCAAAGGCATAAATATTTGAACCATTACTGTCGGGTACTGGCGTTATAGTGGCTGCAAAGAAACCAGGTATTCTTGGTGTTGCTTCTACCAGATTCTTTAGCCCTTGTTGCACAGTTGAAGCAAGTTCTGTGGAGTTTTTAGCCACAGGATTCCCACACACAATGTGGTTCCCACCATCTGTGGACTGGTCGAAGAAAATACTGCTCTCATACCTTGAAAAACACACAAAAATGTGCCATCTTTATGATTCTAAAACGTGTCACTTTTATGACCACATTAAGGGACATCGGTTACCTGAGATGTTAGTTATGTGATTGTTTTATCATTTTATGGTGTTGCAAACTGTGCAGTTGTCTCTACTATGGAACACTTTTCAATCAGTTGAAGGGTTTTATGTGTTTAGAATTAATATACCCGCTTGGAGGGGTTCGAAGAAAATCGACAGAGGTGTCACTGAGGACAGTTGAAAAGATTGTGTTTAGCCTATAAAGAAAAGCAGAGCAACCAAGGATTTTAAGCATAATGACGACAAAGCACGGCAACAAGGAAGTTGTTAACTCCATGATTCATCAACCCAGAATCATCGGAGCTTAAGGTCTTCTCCCATGGCCATGGGTGAGCAACGGCCAAAAAAGTCCGAACTCTCAAGCTTCTTCGTCATGCACTTCTTGGTAGCAAATTTCTCTGTCACAAACCCGAACACCAAGAAATGCAGAACCAAAGATCGCATGGAACAATAAAAATACAGCAAGACTTCGTCGTCATTGCTCAGCATGATTTGAGGTAAATTTCAGAAAATTTCTGCAGAGTTTCAGAGCAAAAGCAAGTGCGGAAATTTCAGAGCATAAACACGAACAAAATTCATCAACGAAGAAGCAAAATTCATCGCCGTCGTTGTGCATGCTCTGGGTTATCACTCTGTCATCCTCTTTCAGAGCAAGAATGAGATAGCCGAAAAGGCAGGAGGATGAGCGGCGGTCGAAGAAACGGCGTTGGGCAAGCGACTGTGACGAGTGTGACGGTAAAGTGGAGACATGCGACGGTGACTGGGAAGAGAGATTGAGAGCAGTGGAGAGAACTCCCTGCAATCGGGGCCCATTCGTCTTTGGAAAAGAAAATGATTAATAAAAGGAGTTAACATAATTAAGATTTAATATAGTTTTTATTTTCTTAGATGTACTATTGATTCTAGTTTCTCAAATTTTAAATAATAAATTTTATTTTTTAAGTTTCATTTCATTTAAAATATTGATATTTATAATCTAATAAAAATTTGGATCATTTTGTTTCTTAAATAGTCAAAATCTATAGTTTGAAAATTAAATGACCAAAATAAAAATAAAAACAAATTTAAGGGATTAAAGATTATGTTAACCCTATAATTTTTATACATCAAGTTTATTTATGTTTTGATTTTAATCCTTTAAATTTCAAAATTATGAGTTTTGATATCTCAAAAAATAAATTGATCTAAAATTTTATTAAAGTATAGGGACTAATATTTGAAGGACTAAAATTAAAATGAAATAGACATGTCAATTATTGTGTTAAACCCAATTAAGCAAAATTATTTTCACACATCTTTTTGGAGTGAATCTGGCTTTGAATTGTAGTTGTGTTTCCGGTTTGTCTTTCAAGTTTCAACAATCCTTTTGTGCAAACAAAGGCTAAAGCCTCAGAAATTTAATGACTTGTATATCTTAATGGCCAAAAATATATGTTCATGTTGTAATTAAGTTTAATCTCATTTAGGTTTTATTCCTTTAAATTTTAAATCATAGATTTTGGTTCTTCAAGTTTCTTCTCATGTAAAATATTGATCTTTATAATCTAATAAAAATTTAGACCATTTTACCTCCAAGGAACCAAAACCTACGGTTTGAAATTTGAAAGATCAAAACTAAAATGAGGGTAAAGTTAAAGGACCAAAGATTATATTAACCCCAATCTTTTTAACTAAATTGAGTATTTTAAAAATTTTAAAATAAATTAGGGCAATAATACATTTTTTAAGTAAGTTATTATTTAATAAGGAGGCAAATAAATGAGAGAAATACCGGTAATAAAATAAAACACTAAAAAAATAGCATGAGAAAAAGATGATAAGAATTAATTAAAAAAAATTAAGGAGTGAAATTGGTAAAAATACATTTAATGTTTAAATACCTTTTAGTTACATCTTATGAAAAAACCAAGCCAATTCAAATTTGATAATCTTATTAGAAGGAGCGGGAGGGAGTAACATTTTGGCTTAAACTCCTGATTTTAATAGTATTTTTTTTTAAAAAATCATGATTTAAAAACCATTAACTTCAAATCATGATTTTTTTTTACCAATTATTGTTATTGAAAAAGGAAAATAATCTTGTAGGTGCCTAAAATTTGCCTTAATTTCTAATTTTGGTGTCTTTAATTTGTATTTTTATTCTGTTGGTATAATTAGCTTTTGGATAAGGATTAACGGTACTAATAGAAAAAAAATACATAGATACCAAATTAAAAGTTAAGAGAAACTATAATTATCTTCAAAATAGTTTTTCCTACTTAGAATACTTTGTTAAAATTTAAAATTTCAATGTGAGCATGTTTTTTTAAAGTCGGCATATTTTGTTAACAACGGTTAAAAAACCATTTTATAAAATTAAAAAGGCCCAAACAAAGCCTTATCCAACAAAGAAAAGAAGTGCAATTTTGCCTCTCTTATACATTATACAATTATGGGTCTCATTCTTTAACTTCAGCGAAACTCTTGATTTAATAATGACATCTTATAATTAGGACCCGTTAGTATAAAAAAATATTAAAAACAACATGTTCATCTTTTTTTTTTTAAAAAAAAAAAAGGTCAAAGTTGGTCGGATACCTGAGGAAGCAACCTTCGTATATGACCCGGGCACCAGTGGCGGAGACGGAGCAGTTGTCGTATATATGAACGGCGGCGAAGTCGAAGCAACCGAGGCAGTCTTTGATGGAAAGGTAGTTTCTGCACTGAAAAACGCCGTACGCCGGATTGTTACCCTTCACTGCCTGCGCCACCGCGGAGTGTTTGCTCTGGTTGCTGACCTGCGCTCTCAGGCTTCGCATCGACGCGTTTAGGTTCTTGTTGAAGATGGCCACGTCACTGACATTATAGCTGCTGCAGCCTGATTTCACATAACTGAGCTGCGGCTCTGAAACGACGCCGTCAAGAGTCCACCATGTCCAGATTGTGAAGCTCAACAAGAAGATAAAGGACAAGGGATTTTGTTGCAGGTTTAGCAGCAGCATGGTGTTTTAGTCTTATTCCTTGCAGAGTGTAGAGAGAGAGACAGACAGAGAGAATGAAGAATGAAGGCGGAGATCTCTTTGAAAAGTGTAAGCCAGCGTGGTGCTTCAAGGTCACTTCAAATTTCTGATATAGAAGTTCAATTGTCATTGATTTTTACTCCCCTGGCCTCTAATAAATATAACCCTTACTTGGTGATTTTATTTTGATCCTAAAAATCTCGTTTCTCTAATAAAAGCTTTTATCTTCTATGTTTATTCTAGTTGCTGGCATAAGAGTGGGTTCAAAAAGCACAATTAATGATAAAGGGAGTTTTTTAGCATACTTGTCAACTTAGAATTCGTCTAGAATCACTTATAATTAATTTTTCAATCGTGATTCACATGATATGAAGTAAATATATGAGAGAAATTTTATTCTGATTTATATAAAACGTGCTTATAAATCATTTTTATCATAATACCAAACAGGACCTTACTTTATATGCTTTTGAACTTACCTACTGGACATCATATAATATTCTTGCTTACTTTAAGTATTATATAAATATTTTTTTTGCATACGTGGATTAAATACACATTAAATGAAAGAAACAAATGAAATTATACAGACAAATCTATCATATAATGCTCATTTGCAGAGTTTTTAAGCTGCGCTGAACAAATAGCAAGTTAATTTCATCAGGGATAAAAAAAACAAATAGCAATTTAAACGAGTTTGTATGATGTTAAAACAAATAATAAAAGTACTTTTCAATAAATTAATATTAAAAAGCTGCATGAACCATGCGGAATCTAATCTAAATCCTATATATATCTAGGCTTATTAGCGATGCATAAATTTCTTCGATCTCCCACCCTTTTAATTTGCATCCCCTAACTTTTTTTGGGTCTTCTTTTTTCTTTTGAAAATTAATCCAAATAATGAGAATTGGGCATATTTTGTGGTCCACATAAATAGCCCTGATTTTGTATCAAGAAATAAAAGCATAGTTAATAAGCCAGTCTATCCCACAAAAATCTTCGTCACTTTTCTCGGTAAGTTTTGTCCCCTTGCCTTTTGAAAAACGGGAAAACTTAGGCAATAGCCAAAGGACCATCATGTGAATTCTCCATTTTTCCTTTTTAAGAGAACAATAATTAGTGTGTGAATTATATAACATATTAAACCTAGTTCTTTTAATAATAAAATACAAATAATCAATTTATAAATATAAAAAAATTAGTTGAAATTAATTAAAAGTAATGAATATGCTTTTTAAAAAGAACCCCTATTACGGAGAGACTAATAAGATGCGATCTGAGAAGTAGAGAGACAAATCAATAATTAGTGAGGCAAAAATTCAAAAAACAATACTTAAATAGGTTATTATAGTATCTTATAAACAAGAACATGTTCATTCTCAAAAAAAAAAATTAATATAGGATAGAGGGAGGATTGTTCTAAGGGGGTGTTTTGGCATCCTTCAATAGCAATTTAAAAAAGTACAAGCCAATAAAATTTTTTTCATATAATTATCTTGTATATGGTAAAATTATTTTTAAAAAACTAATCCAAACCTAATTAACATCTGAAGAGAGTAAAGAGATATGCGATTAGCATGTAAAGCCAATATCTTTGTAGCCATGTGAGATTCGATGGATAACTGTAGGAAGCGATTAAGTCACGATTAGGAGTCCTTTTCATGTGTGTGAATTTTCATAATTGGTGTCATTTTTCAATCTCTGGCGGGTCATACAATTCATGGAAATTTCAAAGATGCCTTCATCATGAGTCGCCCCAGCAAGAAATGTCCTTATTATCTGTGGCCATTCTGGAGAAAAATGACAAAACATGAGTCATTATTATCATTCTTCCAAGATGCCTCAATTATGCGTCTCCCCTTGTTATTCAATCTCATCATCTTAGTTATCTTTGGAACCAAGATGAGATTTTGAAAAAAAACAAAAACAAATTAGGTCCATTCCATTTTCAGTCCAGTCGTTTTCAAAATTATCCTTGGAAGATTAGTTGGAAGTAGAATTGGACATTTCTTACAATAAGTCCACAAGAATAATTATTAGGCTGCGGTCTTTCGTGTCAAAGTTCAAATATGGAGCGCTAATAAATAGTCTTTCATGTCAGTAATTGGAAAAATTATGGCATTATTTGATATTGGGCTACACAAATATTTGACTTTCAATAGTAACAAAAGTCGCTTTTTTAATTTTTAGCAGTGATTTGCGGTCAAGTTGTTGCCGTAGGCAGTTAGGTAGTTGTATCTCATTCCTGCAAGCTACAACCTTTTAGTTATATGCTTCTGGACACTTCATATTTTTCTCTCTTAACTTTGCGAACTTGTCTCTTATTATTATAACTAGTATTAATTTATCATGACATAGCGAATCAATACTTAATCTCTACTAAGAGACATACCTACATATATGTTCTATTTAATATGAAGTATTGAAAATGAGGGATGATGATTGGGGATGGGATTGAAAAGATATACTAAAAAATTGTTTAGTATAAGGATTTTATGCCATCACCCTATTAATTAGGATAGAATGAGAGAACAAAGCCTCAAAGGAAAGAGTCTGAAAATCAATTAATCAATAATCTCTCACTAGTTAAAAGCATTTTGATGGAGCAAACATATATTCTTTCCCGCTATAATAGCGCCATTTAGCTTCACCTTCAACCAGCAAATCGAAGCCACTAAGATTTAATAAAGATAAAATCAAAGACTTAGATCTGATAAAAATAAGATTTTTTTAAACTCAGATTAAACATCATATTTTTAATCAAAGAAAATAATTATGTCAAACGAGAAAAACTATGAAATCCATGAAAAGAATGGAGGTGAAAAACTCACAAATAAAAATAAAAAGGATGAGGTGATAGCGATGGCAACAGTGATAGCGACAGAGATGAAAGAACATGGCGGAGATTATGGAAGCAAAGGATAAACGCCGATAAAAGTAGGAGGAGGGAGAAAATTGAGTGAGGATGATAATGGGGATCATGAGTTTTGATTTTGAAAAGTAAAAATTATCGCACGATGAATTTTAAAATTTTGATAGACTTTTTACTATGGTTATTTAAAAAATTACCGTTAAAAGTATTTTTTATGACAGTTTTTATCGCCTTTAAAAGCATGTCTATAATTACAAAAATACTACCGTCATATTTTTTACAGTGTTTTTTTTAATAATTGCCGTAAATTGGGGTCAACAAAGCTCTTTTTTGTAGTAGTGATATAAGGATTGTGAATATGTAGAGTTTTATTTTATATTATATAGAAATATATATTTTATAAATTTTTAATAAAAATCATATATCCCAAAACTATTATTAGTATTATTTATATATGAATCTATAGCATTATTTTCCCCACCTAATATTATTAATATATATATAGGAAATTCTATAGAAAGTCATACTGTTTATAAACGCGGTACAAAATTGTTAGCCTACAATCTAATAGTACTTCCCAAGCATTTGAAAACTAAAAAGGGAAAATGACATTGAGGTCCCACAGAACCAAAAATACAGAAAAAAGGTCCCCTGAAATCCCATAATTTTTCTGAAGTCCCAAAGGGACTTAGATGCAATTTTCAGAATCTGGAAATTACCCTCTTGCCCTTGCTTATGAGATTCGAAAATGCTGAAAGGAGATTAGAGCCTCTGTTTTTTGTTTGACCGGAAGAAAGCTGAAACCCTGTTGTGCTTTTGTGCTGCTGGAAATCTGGTGAAAACCCATCGCGATGCTCAAATTCCCCTCACAACCCGCTGAAAATCGTGAGCCTTCGTGCTGGTTGGTGTGTGTTGTGATTTAAGTTGGGTGTGTAGAATGATAATGGGTGCTCTGTTTTTGGGTTGTTTTTGGGTGGTTTTCCTCTGTTCTGACGTTGGTTTAGTGGCAAAGGAAGAAAAAGATGAAGGTTAGTGAGGGTAGAAACCCTTAGCACGAAATGGGACTGTGTTGTCAATCAGGCCGCGATTGTTGTCAATGTGTGCCGCTACACTTGTCAATGTAGCTCTTTAAGTTGTCAATGACAGTTGCGTGCTTCTTGATGCAGGTTTAAGTTACTGATGGTTTTTCAAAGCTTTTGTTTTTGGTTTAGGATTCAGAAGTTAATGAATGGAAAAGCTGTGTTTTTGGTTGGTGTGTGTTGTGATTTAAGTTGGGTGTGTAGAATGATAATGGATGCTCTGTTTTTGGGTGGTTTTCCTCTGTTTTGACATTAGTTTAGTGGCAAAGGAAGAAAAAGATGAAGGTTAGTGAGGCTAGAAACCCTTAGCACGAAATGGGATTGTGTTGTCAATCAGGCCGCGATTGTTGTCAATGTGTGCCGCTACACTTGTCAATGTAGCTCCTTAAGTTGTCAATGACAGTTGCGTGATTCTTGATGCAGGTTTAAGTTACTGATGGCAAGTACGTTTGGAAAACATCTATTTTGCTTTGTTCACATAAGGGGAAAGTTTATAAATGATGGAGAAGATAATATGAGATATGTGGGAGGTAGTGTAAGAACAACCAATGTAAAGGAGGGCACAAGTTATGAAGAATTGAAGGAAATTATATCATCAATTGTTGGAAAAGAAAGCAACTCATTTCTTCTGAAATTCTCAGTTGTGTTTGATAAAAAAACTTTTGTGGAGTTGGTAGATGATGATGGGGTGGAACATTTGATAAAGTTCAATGAAGAAAGTGGTCATGTGTATGTCAAAGAAAATGAAAATGAGGACCACATAGAAGCAACAAGGGATAATATATACAATGGAGGAGCAAGTTGTGTAAGTATAGTTGAACAAAACTGTAAATTGGTGTGAAGGGAATTTTTTGTAAATGGATACACACCAATAGTTAGTTTCTCGTAATTACATGCAACCCCTGTGTTTTTTTGGAATGGGTTGTGAAATAGGTGTAGTTTCATGTATATGAAGGTGTAAATGAAAGTTGACTATGAATTGGCATGTTAGATTCTGCTGTCATTTAAGTTGTCATACCTGCACTCTGTATTGTCATTAGACCTATTATGACTTATCAATAGAGCACTGTCACTTGTCAATTAATTTGCTGATGTAAGTTGTCAACAATATGAATTCAAGTTACATAACTTGTTTTAGTAACATATGATATTTTCAATCACTCTGTCATATTATATTTTTGGTTATTTGTCATATATAATCATTATTAATGAAGTGTCAATGGTGGCACTGTGACTTGTCAATGGTGGCATAGTGACTTGTCAATGGTGGCACTGTGACTTGTCGTTGGTGACACTATGACTTGCCAATGGTGGCACACTGACTTGTCGTTGGTGGCACTATGACTTGTTAATTGTGACACACGGACTTGTCATTGGTGGCAATTTGACTTGTCAATGATGGCACACAGACTTGTCATTGGTGGCAATGTGACTTGTCAATGGTGGCATACTGAGTGGATTTTGAGCACCACGGTGGATTGTTAAAGTTACAAAAATGAGGTTGAATAGTTGATATGTCTTGCTTGGAGTTCAAAGTATTTGTGAAGATTTTATGCTCTGTAGTGGTTACTATATTCCTTTGTGGGGATTTCTATTTCCATATTGATGATTGTGTCTGAAAAAGAGGACGAATAAAGGGCACTTCAATCCCAAACACTTTATGGCAACACAGACTTTGTGTATTTATTTGCTGCTGTTATACTTGTCAATGACTACTCTTATAGTTGTCACTAGCAGCCTGCGTAGTTGTCACTGGATGCGGTGTTAGTTGTCACTGGATGCTGTGTTAGTTGTCATCACATGCTCTGTTAGTTGTCAGTGGATGCTTAGTTGACTAGATGCTGTGTTAGTTGTCACTACATACTATGTTAGTTGTCACTGCATGCTCTGTTAGTTGTCACTGCATGCTCTGTTACTTGTTACTGGATGCTGTTACTTCACACTAGATGCTCTGTCATTTCTCACTGGATGCTCTGTCATTTCTCAGTGGATGCTCTGTTAGTTGTTAGTGGATGCTGTTTTTTGTTACTGGATGCTCTGTCCCTTGTCATTGGATGCTATGTTACTTGTCACAATATGTTCTGTCCCTTGTCACTGGATGTTGTGTTGTTAGTAAAACCTTTTGATTATGTGTTTTTTTTTTGCAGATGAACTGTTTCCATACGATGTTGCGTGCTGTTAAGCCAGAGTTGTTTGCCAATGAGGACAAAATTGGCAACGAAGTGAAATGGGCTAAAGTTTATGTGCAGAATGATACGTGAGTGTAGTTGTTCTGTTTGATTGTGTTATGTTGTGTTTGTTCACAATAAAATTGCATGCTGCTTACATATTGAATTTGCTTGGCAGTGATTCATGTGGAGTTCATGTCCTCTCTTAGCTACAAGAGTGGGATGGCGCTATTCGTGATGCTGCAGGATATACCATGCCACGATACTCCAATGATGAATTGCAAGAGTTGAAGGTTGGCTGTTTGTGGTGGTTGGTTACCCATCCACAAAATGAACATAGGGATGAAGTGATGTCAATGCTATTGGACTTCAACAAGAGCAAAGGAGGAGATAGAGGAGTCCATTAATTTTTTGTTCTGTTATGCCAGGATGTGTTATGAGATGATTGGCACCTAAGGGTGTGAGCCATGAGGGCAATAGCTTAATGGTCAATAGGTCCTTTTGTAACAAACTGATCAAATTATGTTTATAATATTATTATCTTTGTTATCAGATGTTATGATACCAATTTCTTGGGGACAACTCACATTTTTATTTTTGTTGTTTTATATCTTTATTGATATCGACAAATTTATGTAATATTAATAAGTAATATAACATGAGTTAATGACAAGTGATATAACAAATGAATATGTGGATATTAACAATTGATATTCAAAATTTTTACAACTGAAGGTGTTATTTATTTGTAATGTTAAGTAATATTTATATTAAAATATAATTAATCAGAAGGTGTTACTCAGAGTTATGTTCAATTAACAAGTCACTCTGCTCTATTGGTAAGTCACAGTGCTACCAGTGACAAGTCACAGTGCTCTATTGGCAAGTCACAGTGCCACCATTGATAAGTCACGGTGCGACGATTGACAAGTGAAATTGCCACCAATGACAAGTCCGTGTGCCACCATTGACAAGTTATAGTGCCACCAACGACAAGTCAGTGTGCCACCATTGGCAAGTCATAATGCCACCAACGACAAGTCACAGTGCCACCATTGACAAGTCACAGCGCCACCATTAACAAGTCTTAAGGACATGATTGACAAGTCACTATGCCACCATTGACAAGTCACAGTGCCACCATTGACACTTCATTAATAATGATTATATATGACAAATAACAAAAATATAATATGACAGAGTGATTGAAAATATCATATGTTACTAAAACAAGTTATGTAACTTGAATTCATATTGTTGACAACTTACATCAGCAAATTAATTGACAAGTGACAGTGCTCTATTGATAAGTCATAACAGGTCTAATGACAATACAGAGTGCAGGTATGACAACTTAAATGACAGCAGAATCTAACATGCCAATTCATAGTCAACTTTCATTTACACCTTCATATACATGAAACTACACCTATTTCACAACCCATTCCAAAAAAACATAGGGGTTGCATGTAATTACGAGAAACTAACTATTGGTGTGTATCCATTTACAAAAAATTCCCTTCACACCAATTTACAGTTTTGTTCAACTATACTTACACAACTTGCTCCTCCATTGTATATATTATCCCTTGTTGCTTCTATGTGGTCCTCATTTTCATTTTCTTTGACATACACATGACCACTTTCTTCATTGAACTTTATCAAATGTTCCACCCCATCATCATCTACCAACTCCACAAAAGTTTTTTTTTATCAAACACAACTGAGAATTTCAGAAGAAATGAGTTGCTTTCTTTTCCAACAATTGATGATATAATTTCCTTCAATTCTTCATAACTTGTGCCCTCCTTTACATTGGTTGTTCTTACACTACCTCCCACATATCTCATATTATCTTCTCCATCATTTATAAACTTTCCCCTTATGTGAACAAAGCAAAATAGATGTTTTCCAGACGTACTTGCCATCAGTAACTTAAACCTGCATCAAGAATCACGCAACTGTCATTGACAACTTAAGGAGCTACATTGACAAGTGTAGCGGCACACATTGACAACAATCGCGGCCTGATTGACAACACAATCTCATTTCGTGCTAAGGGTTTCTAGCCTCACTAACCTTCATCTTTTTCTTCCTTTGCCACTAAACTAATGTCAAAACAGAGGAAAACCACCCAAAAACAGAGCATCCATTATCATTCTACACACCCAACTTAAATCACAACACACACCAACCAAAAACACAGCTTTTCCATTCATTAACTTCTGAATCCTAAACCAAAAACAAAAGCTTTGAAAAACCATCAGTAACTTAAACCTGCATCAAGAAGCACGCAACTGTCATTGACAACTTAAAGAGCTACATTGACAAGTGTAGCGGCACACATTGACAACAATCGCGGCCTGATTGACAACACAGTCCCATTTCGTGCTAAGGGTTTCTACCCTCACTAACCTTCATCTTTTTCTTCCTTTGCCACTAAACCAACGTCAGAACAGAGGAAAACCACCCAAAAACAACCCAAAAACAGAGCACCCATTATCATTCTACACACCCAACTTAAATCACAACACACACCAACCAGCACGAAGGCTCACGATTTTCAGCGGGTTGTGAGGGGAATTTGAGCATCGCGATGGGTTTTCACCAGATTTCCAGCAGCACAAAAGCACAACAGGGTTTCAGCTTTCTTCCGGTCAAACAAAAAACAGAGGCTCTAATCTCCTTTCAGCATTTTCGAATCTCATAAGCAAGGGCAAGAGGGTAATTTCCAGATTCTGAAAATTGCATCTAAGTCCCTTTGGGACTTCAGAAAAATTATGGGATTTCAGGGGACCTTTTTGCTGTATTTTTGGTTCTGTGGGACCTCAATGTCATTTTCCCAACTAAAAACTTTCCTGTATTCTTTCTAATATTTTGTCAAAATTTTTTATATGGTTAGTATATAAGTATATATTCTCATTGATATATATTGACCAACTTACTCTCCTATATAGTACAAAATTGCCTTAAAAAATTATTGGCAATAAATACCATACCTAAAAATATAAAATTATAATTATAATTATATATCTAAAAGATTATATTTTCATTGTTTTACAAAATATTTTGGGCCCCTCCTCTTCTGATCTCATCCTAGTTCCGCCAAGCATTCATCTTTCATTCTTCATCGCTTCTGCAAAGTGAGAAAAAACAGCATGCAGCCTCAACTACTGCAACAAAAGCCTCTGTTCTTCTTCTTCTTCTTATTGAGCTTCATAATCTGGCCATGGTGGACTCTTGACGGCGTCGTTTCGGACCCTCAGACGAATCTAGTGCGACTATGGTGTGACCCCCAAGACGGCGACAACGATGGGTCCATCATGAAGGAGATCCTTAAAGTGACGTTTGGAGATCTGAGAGCTCAGATCCAAAACCAAAACAAACACTTCGCCAGAGCTCAATCAGTGAATGCTAACATCCCCGTTTATGGCCTTTTTCAGTGCAGAAACTACCTCTCCCTCGCCGATTGCCTCGCTTGCTTTGACGTCGCCGCCGTAAACATCCACAACTGCTCCGCCAGGGCATACGCTGCCCGTCTTGTGTACGACGGCTGCTTCCTCAGGTACAACTAGCTAGTTCCCCAACCTCAAGTTGGACTTTTTCTTTCTCTCTCTTTTTTGGGGGGGGGGGTTGTTGGGAACAAATACTGTGAGTTGTGACATTACTATGGTTGCGCTGCTTGCGTTAAAAGTTAGAGCAGCAGAGAGTAGAGAGTAGAGACAAAGGAGAAAACAAGAAACTAATTAATTTCTTTGTGATGCATATATGATGCTATAATTGCAATATATACAATGATATAAAATGAAAATAATAATAATTTCAAATACTACCTCCCGTTCCAAAAGCTAAATAAATAAAGATTGAATTTGATTATAAATATAAAATTTAATCTAGCTAAACTAATTTACGTAACTTATAGATTCATATATAATTTAATGTTATAAAAATATTTTAGGGAAGATTACCTCATATTTGTTATAATTAACTAATTCATATATGAAGTGACATTTCTTTTGTGACTAAACTTACGTTGTATGATCATTAAACGTAGAAATCTAAGTCAAATATTTTTTTGCTATAAAATTTCTCTACAATACATAAATATTTTTTTTAAAAATTATTTATATTGTTCTTTTCAAAGGAACAAATCCATTTCAATTCATAATAACCTTCAGGAGGCATGAAGCCTTGGCACTTCTCAGAATATAACGTGAACTTTCAGATTATTTTTGTCCGTACTTATAGGGAAAGGCAATTTTGTAGCTTATGTTTTTAGCTAATCGTAGTCTAACTTGTGATAATGAATTGTACAGGTTTGAGGCACCACTAGTGGGTGTTTTTTGCCCACGTTTTGTTTTGTTAATGAACATAGGTTTACAGGGTGTTTTGCCTTGTTTCTTGCCCAAAAAAAAAAGTTCTTTAAAAGCCGTAGGGCGCAAGTAAATTTCAAGAAACCACTTTTTACATTTACTTTTAATGAAAAACTGGAAATACTTGACACTTAAAAAGAAAAAGAAAATTGGTGATGGAATTTTACTCCATTGCTAATTTACTATCTTTTTTAAGTGTCTAATTTAAAAAATGAATTATATTTTAGACAAAAGTATAAATTATAAAAAGCACCCACCCTATCCCAAAACTACAAGTTAAATATGATCTGAGGGAGTAGAAATGAGATGGCCAAACTAATTTACATCTTTTAGAGACTTGCTCATTTGTTACTTTGATGTGTGTTTAAAATGAAGGTATGAGAGCAGTCAAAGCTTCGACTGGGCCACCGATAGTTGGAACAACGTAGTATGTGGGAATCAGACAATAAAAGATTCTCCGGCTCTTTCTTCAACTGTGCAACAAGTGCTAAGGAATCTAGGCATAGCAACCCCAAGAATCCCTGGTTCCTATGTGGCCACTAAGACGCCTGTCCCTAACAGTAATGATCTGAATATTTATGGCTTGGCTCAATGTGTTGACACTGTCCCACAAAAGGGGTGCCAGACTTGTATTAACATTGCTTTAAGACACTTTCAGAATTGCCTCACCAACACAGATGCTAAGAGTTACGATATTGGCTGTTTCGTGAGATATTCCACCACTGCCTTCTTTGCTCTTAATCAAACAATTGATATTAACCCCTTCTTGAAACAAGGTAAAGTTATAATCTTCAAATGCATAATTATTGTATATATACATATTTGCTTTTACAGATGAAATTTTAATTAAGTCCCAGGCTAGCATATGAATATATATGCATATATTTATATATATGATTATAGGGAGTTATTTGCATAAACTTCAAATGCATCGTTGTACGTTAGAGCTTGATTAGAAAAGTTTCCCGCCCTGCAGGTTCAAGCAATAAGGGGGCCTTCATTGGCATTGTTATTGGATGTTTAGTGCTTTTGTTTATCTTCCTTATTTTATTATTTGCCTGGATTAGATCACCGAAAAGCCAAAAGAGAGTTCCCAGAGGTAAACAAGGTCTCCAATTTGATTTTTCTCAGCATAAAAAGTCACGGGATTTCATCTTTATGAAAGGGGAAATCTCTGGCTTTTTTTTAATCAAAAAATAATGATGAGAAGTTGAATTGACTAATGTGTTTAACAGGAGATATCACTGGAATTAGCATGTTGAAAGCCGCGGTTAATTACAATTACGGGGATTTGAGGTCTGCAACAAAAAATTTCAGCATTGAAAATAAACTTGGAGAAGGCGGATTTGGTGCAGTATATAAGGTAACTATACATTTTCATTTTCATCAATATTTTGATATAGATCATGTTCCAAAAGCGTGCAAGCATGTCTCTTCTAATTGAGTTTTACCTAGTGTTGTAAAAGATTACCTTTTTTTAAAATAAAGGACAAAGGTATAGAACCTCTAATTTGACACCTCTTAATCATCATGAATAGGGTACCTTGAAGAATGGAAAAATAGTTGCAGTGAAGAAATTAACTTTACGACAATCCAAGAGGATAGAAGAAGAATTTGAGAGTGAAGTGAAACTTATACGTAACGTTCATCATCGGAATCTTGTCCGGCTTCTTGGATGTTGCAGTAAAGGCAATCAGAGAATTCTGGTTTATGAATACATGGAAAAGACCAGTCTTGACAGATTCTTATTTGGTATCTCCTATTAACCAACAAAGCTTGTATGGTTGCTCATGCAATTGCTATTATATTTCTTAATAATATCATGGCATATAGGATATTTTCAAATTAACAACGCAACAAATCATCTTTGACTCGTCTATTAACAAAAATGGATTCATGTGCCATGACTTTATTCAAGAACTTAATCAATACGTTGTGTGTGTAAATTTCCTATTGAAACATTTTGTGAATAGATCGTTCTGATGTTTCACCTTTTCCTTCTTTCTCTGCTAGGAAAAAATAAAGGTTCTCTTGATTGGAAGCAACGATATAATATAATTTTAGGAACAGCAAGAGGTTTGGTTTATTTACACGAGGAGTTTCATGTTCGTATTATACATAGAGACATAAAGACTAACAACATCCTCTTGGATAATGATTTACAACCTAAAATTGCTGATTTTGGCCTAGCAAGACTCTTACCTGAGGACAAGACTCATCTTAACACAAGATTTGCAGGAACATTGTAAGTTGAAATAACTTCATTTATGTGATTTTCTTAAGTTCTGTTGAAGTTCTGGACTCTTCAAGGAAATGATAATATATATTATTATATTAATTCGTTATTGAATTATAAAGTCAAGGGAAAGGAACCAAATTTTTGAACCCATTTCTTATATCCTAAGTTCTTTTATACATGATTCCCCAACCGCAATGATACATTTACCCACAACCTCAGAAATGTAATATATTAGAGGAAAACTTACAATTACCCACAATGTTGAAGAAGATTAGTAAACCAGAGGGAGATAACTGTAGTAGTTATTGCTTCTTCTTTTTTTCTTTAATTTGTAGCAATGTGTACTGTGTCTGCATTCATGTCTATTTTAGATTTTGCTGGTTCTTTTTTCATACACATTTTCTTTGTTCCAAATAGTTGCGTTTGTATTTATTGATGAGTCATTGTTATGATCTTTTAGCTAAAAAGTATTATGTAATTTTCAGAGGATATACAGCCCCTGAATATGCAATTCATGGACAGCTATCAGAAAAAGTTGATGTATATAGTTATGGTGTTATAATCCTAGAAATTGTTAGTGGTAAAAGAAACAATGAATTAAATGCCGATGGTGCTGATGAAGGCGGATTCCTCCTTCAAAAAGTAAGTTCTCATGATTGTTCAAAGCAGCATTTTTTTTTTTGAGAAAATTATAAGCAGGACTCTTTTTACAACTCATGTTAACTCTTCTAAGAAAAGTCTTTCCTTTTTTATTAGTTCATTATATCATGGTAATACATGTTCAAAAGAAATTAATTAGCCTGAGGTTTTTTTTTTCAATCTTTTCTCTATTTCTTGATCTTTTTCACTTTTATTATCTCATTTGGCAGGCTTGGAACTTGTATAAGAGAGGCATACATTTAGAATTGGTGGATGAGACCTTAGAACCTAATGATTATGATGCAGAAGAAGTGAAGAAAATAATAGAGATTGGTTTACTTTGCACACAAGCATCTGTAGAAATGAGGCCAAAGATGTCTGAAGTAGTTGCATTGCTCCAACAAAAGGATTTATCAGAGGATATGAGACCTACTATGCCTATTTTGATTGAAATTGGTTAAAGGTTCATGGAAGACACTTGGATTTTAACCTCTGGTACCTTCTCTACATATGAAGGTGTCGCTTTAAGTTTTGAACTCAAAAAAGCAAAAGCCAAAAAAAAAAAACAAAAAACTAGAAGAAGGAGAAGTCTCGAAATGATTGTCCTTGATTCATTCCATTTTTGTGCGTAATAAAACCAATTATATAAGTGTATGTGTATTGATAATTACATATAAAATTTGATAGGCATGTATGTATACTTATAAAACCAATTATATTATATGTCTTGTGTATATGATTTCACTTGATATGTATAAATTAATTGTTGAACAATGGGTTAGTCAATTATAAATTTTCTCTAATCTTCCCGTGGTAAGATATGAACTCTGATATTTGAGGCTCCTGCTGCGAAGCTCAACATTAACATATAAGAATTCCACACACAAAAAAAATTGACATATAAGAATGCTTCTATCTTGAAAAGTTATTGGAGAATTTTGAGATTTTAATGAACTACGATATAACGAAAAGATAATGATAGTAATGTTATTCCAAGACCCATTATATGGGTAACATATAAAAACCCACATGGTACAATATATGTGGGATATAATGCTTTTAAACTATGATACGCTGCATCCGATCCTTAATATAAAAGGAGAATAAGTAATTTGCAAATATTAAAAAAATTAGTTAAGTTATTTATTTGTAATAAATTGATACTATTTTTCTTAAAATATCTTTGTTAATCATCAATATTAGAACTACCCTTAATAGAAACTTCTTAACATGTTGTAATCACCATAGGAATTACTTGGAGATGTAATGGATAAATATTAGAGTTTTATACTTAGGACTAAATTAAATATTCAACTAGCTTTTATATTACAAGCCGAAAGTAGGTAGTATATTCATATCAACCTATTCATATTGACTAGTGAGTGTTAGGAAGAATAATCTTCAGGAACGGCCGGTAGTTAATGAAGATATTATCTGCCCAGCTGCATCATATCAAGAAGTGTTGAAGCAAAAGCTAACATGTAGATATTCAATGTAATAAGATTACCAATTTGAGTACACATAATTCAAAGGCACTGATTTATCTTACACCATAGGCCAAGTGGCCATCATTGCATACAAACATTGCTAACTGCAAAGTTGACGTTTCATTGTAATCAAATCTTGAGTAATGGAATGAAGAAGAAGAACACTTTATTTACTTTTCCGTTGCTAATTGTATGATCATGCGTGTGAAGCAAATCACCTTCCTGATAAAATGGAAGTAGAGAGAACAGCATTTGATGAAGACGAACTGTGAGTGACAGAAGTGTCTCTTTTGGGCCAAGAAGTAGGATCAACATAGACAGGCATAGTTGGCTGGTTGTGCTCCATTAAGCTCTTTCTTTTCAGCATTCTAACAACTTCAGACATTCTTGGCCTTGCTGCAGGAGATGCTTGCGTGCAAAGTAGCCCAATTTCTATTATTTTCGTTACTTCTTCCGCATCATACTCGTTTGGGTCTAAGGTTTTGTCCACAAATGCTATATGCATTCCTCTCTCATAAAGTTTCCAAGCCTGGGATCAAAGTGATCATATATATAATGAAAAAAAGGGTTAATTGTCTGAACACTAAATCCAGCACTTGAAATTTGTTCAATGAAATGCAATCCATTGTCATGTTTTTACTACTAGGAATTTACTTACTCTTTGGAGGAGGTATTCACTTTCATCATCAACCTTCAATGCACTACTTTTTTGTCCACTTATGATTTCTAGGATTACAACACCATAGCTATAAGTATCAACCTTTTCTGATAATTGTCCATGCATTGCATACTCAGGTGCCACATATCCCCTAAAAAAAACATATCACTGATTGCATAATGAAAAGTGTCTAAAGGTGTGATAGCAATGTTCCATTCTATCAGCAACGCATGATTTCTTCTAATAATAATAAAAGTAAATAAATAGGATAAATTGTATGTGCATTCACTTACATTGTTCCAACAAAATTTGTATTAAGATGAGATTGGTCTCTTGGAAGAAGCCTTGCTAGTCCAAAATCAGCAATTTTAGGTTGAAAATCATCATCCAATAGGATGTTGCTAGCTTTTATATCTCTATGTATAACACAAACATGGAATTCCTCATGTAAATATGCCAAACCTCTTGCAGTGCCAAAAATTATCGCATAACGTTGCATCCAACTCAGAGAGCCTTTATTCTCACCTATTTTCATCACTTTACAGTGTAAGAAATAAGGATAAAAGAAGAATAGAAGAATTAAAGCTGATTCTCAAAACAATATAAGATATTCATTTAACAGATTGATTTTGTCTGTACCAAATAAGAATTGGCCAACATTGTTGTTTTTCATGTACTCGTAAACAAGAAGTCTCTCTTGGCCTTTATTGCAACATCCCAAAAGTCGAACAATATTTCGATGATGAATATTACTTATCAACTTCACTTCACTCTCAAAATCTTTCTCCATCTGTTCGGATTGGCTTAAATCCAATTTCTTGATAGCAACTACCTTTCCATTTTTCAAAGTACCCTGTTCAACAAAGACAGTATACTTAAGACTAAAGAACATGCTTATAGTTCACCAAAAAGAAAAAGGGAACATGCTTATAGAAAGTTTTATTTATCTTCATTCAGAATGTGCAGATGTTTAACAATAAATTAATTTTGAAATGAACTATAACCTTTTAGTGAAAGATCAACCTTCGCTTTTTTTTTTTTTTTTATGAGCCCGATTCACATATGAGAGGACAAAAATATTAAAGAACTAATGAAATCTTGGCAGAGTGTGACAAACAATAGCACGCCTATGTGTGTTCACCCGGGAAAAAAAAAAAAAAAAGAACAACCTCAATGCAACAAGCCCAACAAGTGTCTCCCGATAAATGACATCAACTGTAATAATTAAAAAAAAAAAGTTTTATGAGGTCTACCTTGTACAAATCACCAAAGGCTTGTTCTCCTAGTTTATATTTTTCACTGAAATTTTTTGTCGCTGACTTTAGATCTTTATACCTATAGTTAACAGGGCCTTTTAACTCAGTTGCTCCCAAAATATCACCTGCAAGGAAAATAAAATTAAAGTAAAAAAATCTCGCGCAGCCAATAACAAATCATATGCAAAGCAATTAATGCAAGGATAATCACATTAAATAATTTCAAATTAAATAATAAAGACCATTTTCGGTTATCTTACCTTTAGGAACCATCTTCGATGACTTTGATCGCATATACAAAGCAAATAATGCTAGTATAATCAAAATAAAACATGTTCCTCCAACGACTCCACCAATAATAACGGCCTTCTTCTTGCTTGAATCTCCTACAAATCACAAGAAAAATGTTGACCCACTAAGTTTTCACCGAAAGCCAATGCAAAATATATATCGAGGCCATTTCAAGTTTACTGTAATAATCCACCTTGTTTCAAGAAGTGATTGATGTTAGTGGTTTGATTGTCAGCAAAGAAGGAAGTGGTGGAATATCTCATGAAGCAGCCGAAATCAAAAGTCTTAGCATTTGAGTTTGGGAGACAAATCTGAAAATTTCTCAAGGCAATGTTCAAGCAATTGTCGCAACCGCTTTGTGTGAGAGTCTCAACACATTGAGCAAAGGCATAAATGTTTGAGCCGTTGCTGTTAGGTACTGTCGTTTTGGTGGCTGCAAAGTAACCTGGGATTCTTGGGGTGGCTATTTCCAGATTCCTCAGAACTTGTTGCACAGTTGAAGCAAGTTCAGTTGAGTTTCTTGTTTCATTCCCGCAATTAATGTTGTTGCCCGCGTCTGTTGACTGGTCAAAGAAGCTACTGCTCTCGTACCTGCGTAAGATGCATGAAAAATCAGGTTTCTAATTAATTTTAGGCAAGGTACTGGAAACTTATTAGTTCAAGAGAGTCGATGGTGTAACCGTAATTAAATTGGAATCAACCCAATTATTAAAATAACATGTACAATTAAAATATAGATAATATGTATAACTCTGTAAATGAGTAATATTTAAATAGACAAGGCATTAACTCTGAAGAGTGGGGTTTCAAGCTTAGCAAAGAAAAAATATGTATAAAAATCAACCCGTCAACCTATTCAAAACTCTTGACCAGATCAGACTAATTCACTGGTCCAACCGGCCAACCCAAGTTGAGTTTTAATACCGTAATTTTAGGTAATTTGGATTCTGAAAAAGGTACAATCCTGCTTGCAATCATTAAAGACTTCATCATAACTAGTCATCCAAAATACGCGTGTTGTGCGTGTCACCCATGTATGTGCTCAACTGATATCCTGAATAACTAATTATGCAATTCAAATTCCAGGTACTATTTGACTCGAGCTGCTCTTCTGCATTTCTTTCCCTACTCGTAAAACCCAAACATAAAAAATTACTTAAAGGGATATCAGTCTCTTCTCAACCCAATCACTGTTGAGAGCATTCAAAGTGGGTCATATTTGTCATTTCTCTGATTGGATAGACTTTTTGTGGAGACGAAGGAAGCAAAATAATGTAGTAACTCAACCTCTTAATATAATAGCTAGATATTCCCTTCGGTATAAAATATAAGTTAAAATTTTTTAAAAAAATTTTTTTTATAAAATAAAATTCACTTTTGTCCAAATATTGATTGAGTTTTTTTTTTTCAATTTTACCCTCATATATATTTTTTCTTCTTTAATTCATTTATTATATCTTTTACTTATTCTCTTCATTGATAAGGGTATATTAGAAAAAACAAATATATACCTTACACATTTATCATTTTAAATTGATTTTAATTAGTTTTTTAATAAACATAATGGATAAAGTTTAGCTTATATTTTGAATCGGAGGGAGTATTAATTTAAGGAAATTAAGAGAATTTTTTAAGTTAATTATTTATAATAATGAGGTGTTGTTAGTTACAACTATTACTTTTTATCCTACCTTGAACAAATAGTGGTAAACTATACTGTCAGATTCAGCGATTCAAGAAAAGTCAAAGTGGCGCCGTACCTGATGAAGCAACCGTCGTATGTGATGTGGGCACCGTTGGAGGCGGCGGGGCAGTTGTGTCGGATCTTATCGGCGGCGAAGTCAAAGCAAGAGAGACAGTCGGCGATGGAGAGGTAGTTTCTGCACTGAAAAAGGCCATAAGTGGGGTTGTTACCCTCCACTGCTTGCTCCGTGGCGAAGTGTTTGCTCTGGTTGCTGATCTGCGTTCTCATGCTTCGAAACGTTGCGTTTAGGTTGTCTTGGAAGATGGACACGTCGCTGACGTTGATTTGGCTGCACCCTATCGTCACCAGAGTCGTCTGAGGGTCTGAAACGACGCCGTCCAGAGTCCACCATGACCAGACTGTGAAGCTCAACAAGAAGAAGAAGGGTTTTTGTCGCAGGTGAGGCAGCATGATGTGTTTCTCACTTTCAGGGAGCGAGAGAGATGAAGGAAGGAATCTAGTTGTCTTCGGTAAGCATGGTGTTTGAAGAACACTGCAACTGAATGTTTTACATATAGCTTCGAATATATCTTGCGTTGGTGAGGGGTGACTGATAACTCATTATTTTAAATATCTTTAAAAAATATTTTGAATAATTTTTAGAGAGTTATTAATACATTTTAAAAGCTTTCTAAAAATTAATTAAAAGATTTGATTTTGAGCATGATTTGGATATCATTTTATAAGTATCCTAGTTTTTTAAAATAAAATAAAAGCAGTTAAAATTTTATTATTTTATTTTTGTCTTCTTCTACTTCAATTTCTGTTAGTTTATTTATTTCTTTTTATTTTATTTGCTTTGCTTTTAAAGTTGTCTTTTGTTGTTTTTATTTTTTCCTCCTCTACAGGGGACGCACTGCTCAGGTGATGGAAAACAGAAAGGAGGACATTTGAAAAGAGTGGAACGTAGCGTTTGGATGAAGGGACTTGGGGGCTTTGCGAGGAGAAGGGAATCAGGAATTGACAGAGGGATTCATCATTGTCTAAGGGATATTCGGCTGGGTCTTGAAGAAAAAAGGCGGCCGAACTGGTTCGAAAGGAGGGGAAGATTTCATCATCGTCTTAGCCAGAGGGATCTTGGTCTCTGCTTTTAGGGAGCTGCGGAGCTGGTTCTGGCTCGACAAAGAGAGGGAGGCGCCGAACTGGTTGTGGCGAAGGAGGAAGGAAGGCCGCCGAACTGATTGGCGCCTTCTTTGCTGCACCCAGACAATAAATTTCAGGCCAAAAAATTGAACTCATCGGCAAGCCAAATGCAGGTTCCAGGATACTTCGTCTAGATGACTAGATTTGAAGTTGGAATATCAATATTGTATATTTTATGCTAATGAAGTTAACAATTAGGGTTAAAAAATTGAAAAACAAAACACTTTATAAAATTAAAGAATTAATTGAAATCTTATATAAAATTATAAGGCCAATTAAATATGCAATTTTATCTTTGTTTTATTCTTGTTTTCTTTTAAGTTTTGCATCTCTTTGATTCAACATTTAGTGGGTGTTTGTGAATGCTTAAAAGTATTTTTTAGAAGCATTTTTTTTTTATAAAATAAGATAAATTTTTTCATATATTTATTTTGTAAACCATAAAAATATTTTTAAATTATGATTTTATTTGTATCCAAACACCTCCTTGTTGTGAAAACATTTATTAAGTTATGGTGAGATGATGGAGGAAAGATGGAAAAGTAAAGTCAGAAAATGTTCGATTTAATAAAATCTCTTCCGTGATTTAGAGTTGGATCTAAAACATTTCGTTTTATTCTCTTTCTCTATACAATCACACTTCACCTCTTTTTTGAGATATGATTAATTAATTAATCATCTAAATACATACAGGTAGTTTTTTACTTAAGACCTGTTTAAAACGATTTATAAATAGCTTTTTAACAGTGATTTATAAAACACAAGATAAATATATTATAAGAGTTTTGTTTTTATTTACATGAATCATGTTTGTAAATCATTTTGAATGCCATACCAAACACAACCTTAATATACGTTAGAGGCCTATATATCTAAGTGATGATTATTAGTACTTCGAAAGTCATGGGTTGAGCTGATTGAAATCTACATCGTCATGATCACCATGTAGGGGCATGAAAGCGACTGCACAATATATCACGAAATGACTAATTATTAATTTGCTGACTGTTGACTCGACCCTCACAAGTCGCTCCAAGAACCCCAACTTACGTCTTCATCACGTTACCATCATCTTGCATCCTAGCTAGCGGCCTAAAAGGACACAATGGCGATTTCGCTTTGTCATCCAAAAAAAAAAAGAGTAATTCTTTGCAATAACTACTGGAATCCATTGATTCAAGACAAGTCAAAAGTTAGTTGACCTCTTATGGTCAAGGACTCGCTCTTTATAATAAGACTAATTAATAAAAGGATAAAACTAGTATGGGAAAACAGTCAATTGCTATAAGTAAATAATCGAGTACTCTTTCAGTTCTAAATATAACACTTTTTTTATTATTATTTTTTAATATAAATTATACTATAAAAAGGGTCTTATATTTAGAACGAGAAAATTATCTAAAAGTGGCAATTATTATAGAGGAAGTAACAGGAGTGCTGATTTCCTAGCCACTCATATATATATATATATATTATCGCTACCTCTTGTTTGCCCATTTATTATCCAACTTATTTCCCGAAGACTCTGTCCTATTTTGCATGTTGATGTTTTGAGTGTGACTCTATCCCCTCAAGTGGGACTCTCGTTTTGCTTCTTTTCTATTATTGGGTCTCTGAATCATTAATTGATTCTTTAATAGAAATAAAATAATAATATTCACATTTCACCCAAAAAATAATAACGTTCACCATTGCCGTTTACTTTGAAGGCACCATTTGCCCCTATTGTGAAATTGGCACGAGGATGCTACCTATAGATGTTTAATTATTGACCCTTGCTAATTGCTCCCGGCCTCAGAGAGATATCCACCTTGCGTCTACTCCCGGGTTTTTATCGAGTTTTTCCTGTTTGTACCGGGTTGTTTGGAGAACAATTCATCTGCTAAACCAAAGGCCCGTTTACTAGTTTTCAATTTGAATCAGTCGATCCGGTCTGATTTTTCGAATCTTAAAATTATGTCTAGTTAACTCATTTTTCATAGTTGTTAGCTGCCTTGTATTAGTTCTCTGCCTTAATTTTGCAAGCTATATTAATTAATCTGATTTCCTCTTCTATTTTTTAAAATCTGTTTCAAGTGCATACTAAATTAAACCCACCCAACCCCCAAAAACATGCATATAATGAGAGGAAAAGAAGGAGAAAGGACAATTATGTTGAAACAACTACTAAGAGAGTTGTTTTAGTTTAATTAGAGGTAAAGCTTCTGCTCGAAAAGGTTACTTGGCTCAATAAAACCCAAAAAACTGTTTTTGGCAGTGGGGATGCATGCTTAGTGCTTGTTGGAATGATGATTAGGATTCCCAAATATATTTATTGGACAAAATTTCTCTAGTACATTTAGTTTTATACTCACAGAAAAATATATTTTTTTTATAAATTGAGATAAACTTCTCAATATATTTACTTTATATATTGTAAAAAATACTTTCAAAGCTATAATCTTGTTCCTACCCAATCGATCCCAAAATAGATTTTTAATAAAATTAAATAAGGAGATATCTATTTCAGATTCACTTTGAAAAGGTGGTGATCATCAGGGAGAAGTGGAAGAAGACAAAAGACTTGTACAATCCTCAAAAACAACTTTTTAATTATAATTTTTGAAATACAAAATAAATAGGAAAGAGAAATTTTTTCTCAACTTAAATTTATAAGTGCTTATACTAAATAGCGCTGAGTAAGTTCCACTGTAAGCGAAAGCTGAGATAGAATGGATGAAAAATTTTAATGATTTCAATGTAAAAAAATTCATAAAAATAAATTTAAATTAATACCTTTTATATTATAATATGTACCATAAAATTTCACTATTAATACCTTTTAAATTTAAAATATTATAATATTTAGGAAGAGTATTTTTTTCTTACATATTTTCACTATTAACATTTTACAATTCTATTTTTAAAAATTGTCGTGCTGTGAGGTTTTGTGACTCTTTGAATTATTGCTTCTGTCAATGAATTCATCTCCCAATCGAGGAGGATCGATACATGTTTCGATGCCATATTGAACTAATCGTTCAACTGACTAAGTTTGGAATATCCATTAGGCCAAAGGAATTTCCTACCCTGTGCCAGAACGTGTGATGTTTTGATTCTTCTATAATTCGTTACAATCTTCTTTTTCTCCTTTGCGGATTGGTTCTTATCAGCACTCGGTGTCCGCGATTTCAACTGTGATTTCTTTGATTAAGTTCAGGTAACAATGATGTAGCACAATGTTGCATATACATGCTGTAGTTGTTAATGTTACCTGATCAATAGTAGATCCTGATATTAAATTATTTGCAGCTCAAGACCAGACTTTGATAGTTTTTGGCGTCACTAAATGATATGAAGCTGTGAGACTTTGCTCAAGAATTTATGAACTTTTACTTCATTAGTGGTTTTCCTAGCTAGTTCCACCAATACCAATGCCAGCATATATTTTCTGAACCGTTATGTTGTGCAGCCGGACAAGATCGCTGCTGTAGAGACGCTGGACAGGAATTGTATTCATCTACTCACTTCACTTGAGGTCAGAGACGGAGTTGCGCACTTTCATTCCCGCATTGGCTGGGATTGAGGTTGGAGTTGGCTAGGCTTTGCAAAGGTTTAAGACCAGTAGGCTGCAATATGGCGTGGATGCCGCGAATCTTTGGGACAAATTTGACATCAACACTAGGTCCTTCTGCACCTTATTCCTCTAGATTCTTCTCCAAATCAGCTCCGTACATCAGTAATGCCTCCTTCCTTTCTCTACCATTTCTCCACGCTTCATTTTCATTCACTATTTGATATGCCCAAAGCAAAAATATCGGACAATTTTGGTAATTGTAAAAGCGGCCCTGTCAATGTGTAGATTTTAGCTTCGTAATAGCTGGTCTATTCAAAATCTGATCCCCCCCCCCTCTTGAATCTCTTGCACCTCTTAGTGCTGCCATTCGTTGGGATAAATGGGAATGAGGGTTTCATTGTTTTCTCGTTGTTGAGTTTGTATAACTTGGAGAAATAACCTGCTTTAAGCCTTACCCAGGATTAGCTATTCTAGAATTAAATAAGTGACCATGCTTCTTCAGTCTTAAAGTGTCCTCACATGTGGATAAGTCTTCTTGTTATTAAGTGGCAGACCTATGGATACGATAAAGTCTTGTTTTGACGCTTGCTACTGCAGCAAAGGTTGGAATCCCCGAGTTTGTAAATGGAATAGGGAATGGAGTTGAATCCCATGTTGCTAAGCTTGAAACAGAAATTGGTGACTTCCAGAAGCTTCTCGTCTGTCGTACCCTCAAGCTCAAGAAGCTGGGCTTTCCTTGCAAACATGTAATCCCAATCACATCTCTGCTTGCTTTCTCTCCATGCAGATACAAGAACATATTATCATTTGTAAAAGCACCTATGCATATGCCTTAATATTCATGCATATATGTCATGTCAATGACCAATATCTTGTGTCTTCAAGATATTTCTTAAATTTTTAAATTCTTGGTAATTTCTCTTAACACGTTTGTTGCTGAACTTTCATTGTTGTCTCTATTTTTTTGTACAAATTTATGGATTTATCATACACTTTGTTTCTGTTCGTTAAATCCTTCTTTTCTTTGGCTGGTGTCATTATTCAAATTTTAATATTTTTGTTTTCCCACCAAATGCCACTTTATGAACCAGATCTGTTATGCTCAGGTCCTTTTTATTTGGAATTTGTCTTAGAATCTGTTAGCTTCGTGTTTTTACCTTTTTATTTTTTGGCTCAGAATGGATGCTTACCCAGTTTTCGCCAGAAAGTATGCCAATAGTGCAGCATTATTTCCTGGCATCTTGCTGGTATAATTTGACAGTACGATTATGTCCTATAGCTATGCTTCATGTACAGAACTTTATTGGATTCTAGAAGAATAAGCAGCTGGAATCTGAATTCACCTTTATTGAAGTGGATGATAGATGTCAACCGTCTTATTTTGTTCCGCTGCTAAAAATAATTGTAAATCTCACTAGTGCGTGTGTTATATTGCGTTCTGATGTTGCACGTCATCTTCTTACAGCTGATTGGAAGCAGGTTCCTGATGGCTCCCTTGTACGAAAGTTGAACTGACTTGCGTTTTCAAGCAATTGTTTGTGGCTAGCGCTTAGTAATAGCAGGTCTTTTGTGGTTATATGGGTAAAAGGTGCTTCCTTAACGTACTACATAGCATTCTACCCCTTGATTGACTCTGTCGCTGATAGAATGCCACGACTTATATACAGTAGAAAGAAGAGAAAATTTGGAGGGTATAGGGATGGTTATGCTATGAAGAGTAACTTCCCTGCCATGCTGTCATATGTTGCCTAATGTGTTGTCAATGATCTGAGTGAGTTTATTATGCGTCGTCAATTTCTATGAGGATGTGGTGTCAATTTCCAAGGGGTTAGGATGCTCAGTTATTTTGATTTCATTGTAATATATACGTACTGGACTGATTATTAGGGAATCTATGTGAGCTATTATTCAGCCCTTTTATGGGAGATTAGATTTTCTTGGTGGCTTTTTTCTATTAGATTATTTGGACCTAGCTGAAGAACGATAACTCACTGGCTTGTTAAAAAGGCTGCAGGGGTATGACCATTTTATCTTTGGCAGAAATAAAGGTTTTGTGATGTTTCCACTATCTTTTTTTAAGACACCTTTAATTGATATTCTTTTTGGACCATAAGACATTAAAATGCGTGGGGCCTACATGCAAACTCTTTGTAACCTATAGTTTTTGCTTTGCAGAGGAAGTTAATATTGAAATATGCACACAAGTACAGGCTGGGATTATGGAGGCCTCGAGCTGAACTAATCAAATCGTGATCGGTTTCTTAATAACTTTTCTTTATCACACCTGAAGTTCTAGATGCGCCAATATGTGAATGCTGGATTTCGCATGGAAAGAACAAGTCTATTGCTTCTGATAATACTCAACTTCATTCCATTCAGAACATGTGGATAATTTTTGGTATTTGCACCATTGAAACACGAGACTTGTGCTAATTGACCGTCGGTGTGGCTGGTGCATTTACTGCATTTGTCTAATCGTATGACTTGTTTTTGGCAAGTATGAGACTGATGAATTGAATGATTCAGCAATGCTTCATTTATTCCATGATAGCTATTGTAAAACTCAACGATGCTCTTTATTTACTCTTTTTTTTTCTCCCCCCTGGTGTCAAGCGCATGTATCTTCTTATTCTACCAAGTCTATTTGAAACACTATCAATCCTTAAAATGTGAGCACTTTTAAACTTTGGTTTGTTATGTCATGAGGAATAAATCCTTTCTCTTAGGTATAATCTGATCAACGAATGCTCTTTAGTTTTGCAGTCATGTGCATCCCTTCCTAATTGTTCAATAATTGATCAGATCTGATATTAACTTGTGGTTGAATTATGAAAGTATGATGTGAATATGATTATGACAATAGTAAAAATGAAATTAATGCAAACATGGAAGAAAAAAATGAAAAAAAGATAAATTTAATTTTCAGATAGGTACGAAATGCAACTTATAGAAAGATCTAATCCTATTTCAAAAGTTATAACTTATATATAGGATTAACGACCACCGAAAGTAACAATTAATGGAACTTACCATCCTCCCACTTTCTTTTTCGTTTTTTTTTTTCCTTGGGTGCTTAAGGTCATAGACCTGCTGAGTATGGGGGCCATAATCAATGCAATGCTTTCAAAAGTGAAAACACCATTCCACTCGAAAGAAAAAGGTAGGCTTCAACTTAATTTAAGGCCAAACGCTTTGTAGTATAATAGCATTGATGCTTTTCTATAGATTGTAACTGAGAGGTCATCGGTTCAATTCTGCTTATAATCTCAAGTTGTTAGTGCCTGTCCTTTTAATTAAAAAAAAAAAAAGCATAGATGGTTACAGAATGGTTTGTCCTTGGGCTTCAAATGTCAGTACGTGCCTAGGGTTTCCCTTTCTTCAAGGATTCATGTCTTGGTTCCTTGTACAATACTTATTTAACTCTGTGGTGGAGCTCCCATTGTGCTGTGGCTATCCATTCCCATTCCATGGCAGTTATTTAGCAGGGATTCCATGGGCTTGATTTCCTTAGAAATTGATGTGGCAAGGACCAGAGTGGTATAGCTTCAGTATCAGTTACTATTCATATGAGAGATAGCACGCAAACCAAAGAGTATATGATACTCTTGATAAGCCATAATTCATTAGAGATTTATAAGATGCATAAAGTATTTTGATATTAACATGCTTTACTCTCATTCTATTCTCATAAAACAGATTTCTTTAAAAACAAAATTAAAGAGGTAGGTACTAACAAGCAGGATCAAACCCTTGATCTACCATTTATAGAGGAGCTTTTATGTCACTAGGTGACAAGACCGTTTGCCATAAAAGAGAAATTTAGAATGCATATCAAGATTATTACTTAGAACACTTGCTTGGGCTGTAGGCATTATGAATATTTAGCAGCCTACAATACAGATAGTACAGAAAAACATAATAAATGCTAAATTTAGTATATATCGTGTTTATTTAACAGTTAGTCAGAAGATTTGACTTCCATTTATTGTGAAAGACAAAGCAATTCCAGTACATTGTTCTAACTCTCAAAATAACTGGAGTCAAATCTCCTCTAGCTGTCATAAATCTGATATTTTTCAAAATAAAGAATTCATGTAAAGAGATTACCTCATAACCTGTTTCCATGATGAGAACCTCGTCCTCAATTCATTGTTCAAACATTGGCAAGCGAAAAAAGGACACTTGATGCCAAGATTGAAGATAAAATTTCTTAAAGGAGTTCATGCTTATAAATCATGTGGCTTAAAGGCTAACTATGATGTTATCAAGCCAGTGGCCACAGGATAAAACAAGCAGAATAGTGGAAGTAAGAACCAAAAGACGTATCATATATTCATAGTAGCCCAAGAGTAGAGCTGAAACAGATTAACTTGAGACAGAAGATTATCGATCCTCAGGTGCCAAATCCAAGATCCAGATGGAGCAGCACATTTCTTGCATGGGGAAGAATTTATGAACATAGTAGATCAGTAAAACTCCAAAGAATCAAGACAATGAACATGCTAAGAAACTATAGTTAACTCCAATTGATTGATTTTGGCCTCTTGGTGCATGCCCAGATTCCAAATAAGTAAGAAGATTGACAGGATAAATTTTTAAATCTGGTCATAAGAGGAGTAAGCACAGGACAACACCAATTAACAAGACACAAATACCAAAAGAATTTCAAAAGGGGAGAAACTCTTAAAGCTTCAATGCCACCCTCCCATGCATGAATGTGCATGTCTTGTGTAGACAGATATACACAAAATAATTTCACTAGAGGAGTAGGTACAGGACTGTACCAATACGTGACAATTTAATTTGAAGTTTGAGCAAATTCTCTGAGTTCAGTAGGTTCCTCTCTGCACCATCAAAATGAAATGGAATGTGTAATCCTGGTTCAATAGTTATGACCTGCAAAATAAATAAATGAAAAAGAACAAATTGTTAACTAATATGTGAATGAACGATGTCAATCAGCACGGCTATAGCATGCAAACAATAAAACTCTTGCATGATCGCCATGTTCCTATATAAGGAAAGGGCAAAAATTGTCATTCTCGGCCAGAAAAATATCCCTGGGTGTAATTTTTTAAGACTTCCTTCAGTTAAATGTAGCATGCTTTAGAAGACCTTGACTATCAAATACTTTTAAACATATTAGCTGGAAATATCTGTTGCTCTTAGCGCATCCAATGAAACTCTATAGGACTAAGGCAGGAATGAATATGGACACGTTATATAAAGTTCCAGTGGTTGAGTTCATCTCAATTTAGAGAAACTTAAGGCAAGAAAACTTACAACACCTGCCTTGAGAGGATAGTCATAGCTGATCCTTGAACAATCATGTATATCCACTACCAAGTAGTGAGCTAGACCAATAAAAGATGAACATACAGGTCCAGTCTGTATTTATCTTTTCAAACTAGCCTAAAAATTTGTAGAGCCAACAAATAATTCTACTAATCTTTGTACACAGAGATTAACCAAGCTGTATTTTTCAAGTATGCATAAAGAAACCGATAGAAGTGGGGTTCAGTGTATGGTAGGCACTGCTTGGAACACCTCTCAAAATTCCAATCCCCTTGAGTCCTTTCTGGAGCATTTCAACCTAAGCAACCAGACCATTTCAAATAATGTAATTAAGGTAAACAAGCTTCAAGTCTGAAGTAGTTAGTTGAATAAACAGAAAGATCAAGTGAAGCAAAAGTAAAGTGCCAGTAAAAAACATACCGTTCTAGCAAAAGAGATACTAAAAAGTTGTCAGAACACACATATGACTGTTGCTGATTATGCAAAATAGTATGATGGGTTAAACACTTATAAGATATCGGTCATCATGCATAGGGTTGATTGCCTCAACCAATATGGCATAAAAATTTAAAATCTTTTCTTTTGGCACATTAATTCAAAATACAAGGGAAAAAAATATATCGGAAACTGTTATTAACCTTTACTCTGTTTTTTTTTTTTTGGGTCCTTAAGTGTAAACATTTAGAGAGAGAAAAGCTTGATGACTGAGAATTGTTACAACTCTCCTTTCAGTTAGTCGCTGTGCCATTCTATAATGATAGAATTCCTAAATACTTAAATGCCCTAAATTTGAAATATGAAATATGAAAAAAAATTAAATAACCCTTAATTTGAAATATGAAATATGAAAAAATTAAATAACCATAATAGTTAAATAAACAACAACTTTAATTTATCAAATAAGAACAATTAAGATAGCAACAACTAATTTCACAAAATAAATTGTTAAAATTGCTACGCTTTAAAATTTTTGAGATGAATTTGCACGCAAAAATCTTTTAGGCGCCCAACTGAGTGAAAATTTTTGAACGAATTTGTATCTTAACCTTTCAAAATACCTCTTACTTTATATAGGAATTAAGACATTTTAAATAACCATATGAGATTCTCATATTTTGTTAATTGATGTCTTTCTCTAAAACTTAAATTTAAGACCTTATTTAAAAAAGTCCTGATTTTATAGTAGGTCAGCCCAGCTGTTGTTTCTTATTATATCACACTATCGCTTGTAAGGTGACTTCCACGATACCTCATGATGCTAGTCTTCTCTTTTTTCCCTTTCAGTCATTGCTGAAAATTTGAAAGTCTTCCAACCCCATCATGCAAATTAGAAGCCCTGCTTGACTCTAGAAGCAAGCGAACAAGTCAAATGGACCACACTCACAATTTCAAAGCGCGTGGGGACGAGGCTTTTCTTAAATTGCTTTGCCATCCTTTGCATATATTAATGTTGCTATGCACCCTTCAAGAATTTGGAAATGAAATGACGATATTGAAATGTGGAGAAATGGCTCCATTATCCCTCTGATTCACCTGCCTTATTAATTCTTTTCTGATAAAAAAAATTATAGATACTTAATCCTCAGCAATTTATTTATCCACAAAAAATATTTTAAATCAAAATATATCCCCATCTGCTGTGGCCAAATTATATATGTTTATACATATATAACTGAAGATTTCCTTTTGTTAAAAAACACAAAAATATACAGTTTCAAACATCATTTTCCTATTCATCTGAGTTACTTTCAAATGCGTAATATTGTCAGAAATGTTTACTAAACTTAATCATAGTAATTAACGAATTATACAAATCTCGAAGGACATGATCATTTTCATTTCATTAATTATTAATGATAACAACAATTAAGACAATGATGATCACTAGTTTCAAGAAAATTACATCACTTCACATACAAACTTAACTTAAAAATAGCGTTAAGGTGCAAATTTACTATGTAAGTTTAAAATCATGATAACTTTTTTAATGTTAACAATATTATCTGTCAATATAACCAATTAGTTTTTTATGGTAATGGGCAAAATTGCTATGATTCAA